AAAATGACATTAGCTGACATTAGCTGAAGATTCATTTCTAACAAAAATGTTATGTAATACTGAGGGCATAGCAATGTAGGGGGGTAACACCTGTCCAGAAGTAAACTCTGCCTGTCTGATAATCACCCTGGATATGATGGTAGTGTCATTGTTCACTATTTGCTAATTTTTTTTTCTTCTTCAGTAATACCCATGTAGACATTCAGTAAAACAGATCATTTTTTTTTAATTTCAAAATGGGAGTTTTGTCTCTGAGTATCAACATATTGGTGAAGAATGGTACAAGTATGCTCGGCTACTTGTCATATTTTCTATATAAAGTGTAGGGAAGTCGATGTATCTTTGTGCAGCCGGTATCTTTCCACCACTTCGCATTGTATTAAGTGCATGGACTGTGACAGAGACTATAGGCAACACAGTTTTCAAACAGAATCATCTCCCCAAAAACTTTCGCTTTCAAAAAAGTTACATCCCTACTGGGGGAAGATGTGATGGTCTTACATCTTGGAGATGCAGGGGGTAACATTGACCAATCAAAACAAGTCTTACATGCATATGGTTGGAAAGATAAAATTATATAGGAAAAAAGACTTTCTCATTGTCGCCCGACCCATTGGTTTTACATAGAAAATGAGCTGAAAATAAAAGTAAATTTACTACTTTACAAAATAAAACATAATAGTAAATAAGAACGAAATTGTAATTTGTTTGCTTTACTAGAAAGAACATAGTTTTCGTCTTATTATACTTGTTAAACTAGGCAAAATATGTGGTACTTTTAGCACAATGAAGATGGATTTAAAAAAAACATAGAATATTTTTTTGCTAATAAAACAAGCACTGTTCAATGGCCCAAAGGTTTTGATATGAAGCCAGAGGGAGGGATTAAAATGAAATGCACCTTAGGATTAGGCTCCAAAACCTAAACTACTGTTGGTTCCCTCTCATTCAAACCCACCCATGTTGTAGTTCATTGGGATTGTTTTTCTCTTTTTGAATAAAAAAAAGGATTTTTGGGATAGGCCATTTTTATTCTTGATTTAAAGGTAATGACCAGTTTTGGAAACGCCCCCCTCTCAAAAAATGAAATGGAAGCTGTTATTACCAATCATGTGAAAGAATATGTTTTGACTAATACGTGATGATACAAATTTTACCTAAAAACCGCCCACTAATTGCTATATTTGATAAATTATTATATCTATCCGGACAGGACAGATATCACGCACGTGTTGCGTAGTTCCATATACATCTTTCTGTGTACAGTGCTTGTAACTTTACCAAGACTGGGCTAAATTTTGTTTCATTTTGATGATTCCAGAACCTTGAAGTGCACACCAATACTTATATGCTAGATGATCAACCTTTTCTGATCGATTCCACAACGTTTCTTTTACAATGCAATCGCATGACCAAACTGGTCTTTATCATTAAATTTCAAATGGGTACCAAGTATTTTGGAGCTTTTTCAAATTTTTCAAAATTACAAAAAATAAATTGCATATAATTCAATAATAGGTGTCGGGTTTTTTTTTCTTCATCATATTTGAATAGGTAATATCAACTTATTATTTTGTATTTCTGATGCTAATTCGAAATTAATGATACTCATGTTTAAATATTGCCATGGCATGTTTACACTCAACAATAAAAGAGTAATTTTGAGGAATAATTTAAAAGTAGGTTCCATACAGATATTAATCAATTCAATAACATTTGATATATCAGAGATAACTGATGCAGAAATCATTTCATCATACTTTCAAAACAGTAGAAGAGGATGTTCAAGTTTATGACCGGAAATTCAACAACAACTTTCGTTCCATGTTTACAGTGTTCAATTTAAACAGGAAAAGATTTAGCTATCCTTTAGAATTTATTGCTAAATTTAAATTCCTTTGTAAATGATATTGAACATTTCTTAACCGTCGGACACTATTTAATAACTGACTTTTTTTTTTTTAACTTCGGTAATATAAATAACGTAGATAAAATGAGCTGCAAAGGATATGAGCTTTTGTTCAATAACCAACTTCTTGTAATGGTCGAAATTAAGCCGATTGAATCTTTACGCAGCTACCATCTTTAAAGGACAATCCCTGTAATAAGTTTATTTGTATGAAAGCAGGAAATAAGAATAACCAAATAGTATTAATTTGGAATATATCAGACCAATGTAAGTAATTTAGGATTGTTTGAAATATGAGTTCACTAAGTCTATGCAAATTTTGAATTCTCAGTTTGGTCAGTGGATTGTGAAGTAGTCAGGACAACTATCATTGATTCATGGTTTCTACGAAGTGCCTTCCTTCTTGGCACTATACTCAAATTGGATAGCATGTTATTATAGATCTTCTAATGAGAATGTACCCTCCTGAGCCATACACTTTTGAAAAATTGAAATTTTTGTCACTGTCTGTTTGAACAAATGGGAAAGTTGTTTGCCACTACATAACAGAGACATTACTGATTTAGCCATTTTGTAGAGCCTATATCTATAATGATTACAATTTTTCTAAATTTATAACTTTTTTATTTATTATATTTAGCGGATTTCATTTTTTGGGGGCCTGTTAATGGGCCATCCTGCCCAGAAATAATGTCCCAACTTAATTTTTCATCTCATCGAATTGTGTGATGCAGATGAGGCCGCCGAGAGAGTTTCCCTTGTTTATTTTGTGTCCAATGTCATTCAAACATGAAGTGCCTCACAAAAATTAAAATCTTTGAGTGACAGGTTTCGATATACCTACTAGTACTCATTTTCCATGATAGACTGTAGTGTTATAACAAACTGTTCAAAACTGTTTGGCAAACAGTTTTTGACTTTTCTAATTCCAATCATAAATAATCAGACAGGCGATTGGCTTGTAAAAGTCAAAGGATTCCTCACCGACCTAAAGGTTTATTATTATGATTGCGGCATGAGCTAAATCCAGGATTTTGTTTAGAATCTGAGGCAAAGATACCCAATCCCTTTAAGTCTACCTGTGCTGTGCATTAGAATTACGATGGTACAGCAGCAATGATCTTTTTACTTTTTGTTTGAGGGGGAGGGGGAATGGGCCTGTTTATCACTTCAACACTTATAACCGTGCTTTTTAAAGGCCATGTACAGTCAGTGCAAGTATCTTAAAATGCTGTCCTGTTCTTTCTATGAACAGATACATCTTGTAAGATTCTGTTTTATACATTTCAAATTGTTATTCATAGGTTTGACCAGGAAATAAAAGGTACTTTATAAAACAAAGGTGGCTGGTCACCCATAATATTTTCTATCTCTAAATTTGTCATGCTTTTTTTTCACCCTGACAAAAAAAAAAATCAATTAAACAAAGTTGGGACAAGGCAGGATTAGAACTAGACAGGATTTTGTGTCTGCTATTCATTAACTGAAATATTGATCAAAAGGACGGATGAATTTTGGGTGCTTGCAAAATATGGGCTGTAAATATATGTTCTTATTTTATTTTGTAGTAATGACTGTGGTATTACTTCATGTGCCTGTGTTCTTGTACTCACCATTTTTTCTTTTAATTGCAGATCCCGGGGACATATGTTGAGCGTCACCAAGCGAAGGATTATGTCCAACTATGGAGACTATTACCATTAATTTGCTCACAAAGCAAACTGTTCTAATTATTAACTTAGACTCGATGAAAATAAGGGCAATAAAAACCAAAACAGCCAAACCTTAAAGACGACCACAGAGGACCCAGCAGTGCCTGTGACGAACTGAATTACCAACCAGGCTCACAATAGGGACCCAATCAGCTATCCCAATTAGGAAATTCCTTGGGTTACAGACGTAATAGAAGCCAGATGGTACCCACCCACCCACTAGAACATGCAACATCTTGGTCGGACATTCTGATTGTTTCTGAAAGCTCATTATAAAGAAGGAAAGAGAGAAAGAGACGACAGAAAAAAAAACTTCAAACATAACAGTGGATTTTGTTTCTTACGATTCTGACACGTAGGATTTTTTGCGACAGTGTAGTATTCCTAAAAACATCCTAGTCTGAAGTGCAAAAGCATTTTGATCATTTGCCTAAGTTAAAGATAACAGTATATCTTGCAATGGTTAATCTTTTTGTACAAGATGAAACTGTACTGCTTTATTGGGAATAGTTGAGCTAAGTTTAAAACAAAAATCAAAATAAATTCAAAGTAAAGAGATGTTGACAGTTCCAGAAGACAGAAACACATACACATGTTTTGAAATATTTACTTCAAACTAGGCATTGTTATTATGATTTAATAGTAGAGACCAAATAATTGGTATGATGCATCCAGTCGATTTATCTTTAATGCATTCGTTAGATACATAATCATCTGTCCCAAATCTCAGTTAGACCTCACTGGACACATTCTTAAACAGTAGTATGTGGCTAAAATCACTCCTTTGTATTAATAATTTTGTTGATTAAATTGATAATATTTATGTACTTGCAGAGTTTGTTTGATTTATTTATGCAATGCTATCCATTGTTTCTTTCCATCACCTATTTCCTCCTTTTCCAGTTTCTCTATGTGTTTTCATTTCTTCTACTCATCATTTGTAGAGAGAATGTGTATTTTTATGTGAGATGTGTATAGGTTAAATATATAACACCAGTTCAACTGATTGCAACTCTTTTAATCAATTACTTCAACATCCATTCAATCACTTTATAACACTTGATATCTACACACTAGTGTTCAATTTTGACAGAATAATCGTACAATATATGTATAAATGCATAAATCTTTTTACTTTCAGAGATGGTAGAAGAAGGTTGTTGGAATGCAAAGTATAAATTTTCTTGAGACTTGAATACTCAAAAATTATTCTGAATTTTCTGAATTTGATCAAGTCTCGAGAAAATTAAATATGGAGCATTCTTTTTCATCGGTCGTATACCTTTCAGGCGATACATCAAAAGAGGTTCTATCTGAACACTCTGAAACAGTTTTCTATCTGAAACTAATTATCTGGCTATCTTCTTCCACCCTAACAGGAGTATTTGCCGAGGATCTTGAATGGACTCTGGAGCCTGTTGAGCCCGTCTTCCCTGGAGAAGAGAGCTCCGTCAGCCTTGACAGCACCGTTACCTTCCGTGATGGCAACCGCGAGCTGGTCGGCAGCGGCCTCTGGCGCCAGGGCCTCTTTGGCAGCAGGAACAGGGATGGTAGCGGAGAGCGCTTCAACTACAAGCGCCAGACCCTTGACAGGCCCCAGGCCAGTACCACCCTGATTGCCGATAGCCCCCTTGAAGTCCAGGATGCTATCACTGACTTTGAGATTGGAACCGTGGGATGCAATGACTTTAACTACCTTTGTCTGGAATTTACCGGAGGGGACAACCCCAACCCTGATTACTTCTTCCGAGTGATTGATGCCATGGACAACAGCGCCGAGGCTAACACACTCGTCAAGTGTAAAGAGCAGGAGTGTCTCTCTAGTAAGTCCATGATTTTGATCTCTGAACTGTCTTTTGCACAAGATGTGCACCTCTCTTTCAATATCCACCTGCTTCCTGGGCCTCGTCTTACGAAGAGCTACATTCGATCCAATCGCAAGTCCTCCAATCAATCGCAATTTTGCAGTCTCCTATCTCTTATGCAAATAAGTTGCGATTGATGTCAACTCTTTGTAAGACGGGCCCCTGGAATTCATATGCAGGTTTAAATTCAGTTGACAACAGCTAGTATTTTACAGCTGATAAAGTGAAGGCATGCCATTGATTGTAAAATTGCTACGTGCATACCAAAGCTCTTTTTGATATCTAGTATATTTGTAAAGCGCTTAGAGACATTTGTATTAAGCGCTATATAAAAATTAAATATTATTATTATTATTAGTGCTCTGAAGCACAAAATGCCCCCCAGAATAGAGTGAAATCCATCAGTTAGTATACAAAATTTGACACACTTGTTATCAGGAGAAAAAAAAAACATGATTATGCACAATATCAATTAACACATTAGCAATTGCTTCATGAAAAGTGTAGAAGGCTGATATCTGCATTTCTCTTGTATTGAAGAATGAAAAGAGTCGTCCTCTTATTGCAAAAAAAAAAGGGGAGAAATGAAAATAGAGTCTTTGAACCAGTATGTTTACAAATTCAGTTTCCTGTTATACACATGGGCATATTATTATTTCCCTAAATATATTCTGATTCTAAGATTCATCACATACTATTTCATGTTTTTGAAATGAATTTCCTTTGGTTCTTTGATCCATAGATACTTAAATGATATATAAATGACTGTTTCCCCCCATGATGTGGTATAAAGTTACTCTGGCTGTGTGGGTCTTTGAAACATTTCGTCTAACCAAATTCGTTGTGTTTCTGGCGTGCTCAAAACATAAAAAATCTACTTAAGGTGTATTCACTAGAGTCCATATTATTTAGAACATCACTATTTTGGCTGTTTGTGATCATATTAATAGATGTATATACAATTGTGTTAAAATAAAAAAAATTAATACAAGTTCAGTTCTTTCTATATTCTGTATAGTTAAACCAGCTCATGTAAAGACTATCTTTATATGAAATTTGGTGTAATCATACTTTTTCTTTCATCTCTTTCCTTCCATTTACAGAGGCCATATTCACCGACTTAGAGGCTGATCTTGGTAACCAGATTATCTATGAAAACAAGAGGAACCCACTGAGTGTTGACCTGACCGGCGTCACCCATGACGATGCTACCAATGTCCGAGGAGACCAGCTATGGAAGATGGCCGTCTATGGCAGCCGCAGAGCTGATGGCTCCGGACCCAAGGCTGGACTCGAAGAGCAGATCCTGGATCCCACTGAAGCATCCACTACCCTGTTGGACGAGGAGAACCTCATGATGAACAACGTTAACTTTGAATTTGATATGACGGGCATTCGCTGCGAGGATGCTGAATGGGTCTGCTTTGATCTGGATAAGAACAACAGGGCTAGCGTGAACTACATCTTTGAGGCTCGCCCTGATGAATCAGTGATCACCGAGTGCATTGACATGAGGGATCGTTGCAAGGGTGAGTGGTATCCCCTTGTTACTTGGTTAGAGAATGACTCCTGGTTCATCACCCATGCATTATGAGGATTATACTGAGGGAGAATATGTTAACATATTTTGTGTTATTCATGAGAGATAATCTTTTCCATAGTCATATCGTCTATTTGGAGTCATAGGGGTTCATAATATACTTAAATACACAGTAAACACCCTTTTGGCTCCAAATAGATTTTATAGAAAATATCAATGAGGTTCTACTTTTTCACCTTCAATTATTTGTATGCAAGCAAAGAAGTTCACCGGATATTATGGTTGCTTATATAATTTGTTTAACTGTAGTTATTCATTTTTCATGTATTTGAAATAGGTGTCACCGCTATTGACATTGATTGGGAAGCTGACGTTGGTGATGCTCCATTCGGTCAACCATCTCCTCTTACCCTCACTGCCGACATCAACTTCGACCCACTGAGTCCCGATGTCAATGGACAAGGCTTGTGGCAGCTTGGTGTGTTCGCTGCTACCAGACCCGACGGTGATGGTCCTCGCAGGGACGAAATCTCCCAGACCCTGGACCCCTTCAATGGGGCCAAACCGCTCGAGGAAGGTGGACCTCTAGAATTTGACAACGTCTTGACCAACTTCCCAATTGACGAACTCGGCTGTGACGACTACCGTTACCTCTGTGTGGAATTCAAGCAGGGTGTGGCCCCTACCCCTGGATACAAATTCGAGACCCAAGCAGGAACCGATTCCATCATTTCTTGCCGGGAGCAACCCTGTAGAGGTAACTTCTAGGGAGTGTGAGGATTTTCCTCCCTCTCTGTCTCTCTCACTCACACTGTATCTAATGACTATCACCTTTGTCATATCATCATCACTCTGTTCTTCATTCACGTATCATCAGCATGACCATCAATCTCTCACCCTTGTTGAGTACTTGGCCACCAGCATAGTTTGCCCTGAGGCAAATATGTTGGTGAAAACAGATCAATTTTTTTAAGTAGGGACTTGCTAGGGCAAGTAAAATAACCCTTCTCCCCTTACAGGTTTAGATTACTAAGGCAAGTGTTAGGTAGATCAGGAAGAGGAATTTGGGCTCTTACCACATGGCAAGAGAGTGATACAGGAGCAAGATGCAGGATGCTGGAGAAACAAGAGTGGTATTTGGTCATGTCTGCTATAAAAAAGGAAACTCCACGGTTCTCTTATTTGCATGGTCAATTCTTACTTTCCGTCTGAACTCTCTCTTGTTCTCCAGCCAAGCATGATCTTGTCTCTGCAACTGTCTTACTGTCTTTTACTAGAACTTCTGATTTAAACAAAATCTTGAATCTAATTGTTCTTTATACTCACTTGTCTTTCAGTTCTGTTGATTTCTTTCAATGAATGCAAACTTGAAATTTCTGTCTTTCTCAAAATCTTGATATCTTTTCCATAATTCTTCATATGCTAAATCTTCAACTCGAATCTAATTCTAATCTAAGAGCATGAATGACTCTTCTGTTTTCTTTTGGGGATCTTTTGGGCTCTGCTTTTGAGGTTTAAATAAACGGCACTATGGTAAGCCTTTCTAAATACTTCTCTCTACTGCATGGCTAATTAGATGGCATGAAGTGAAAATAAGGGGTTAAGGGTTAACGCTATGAAATTTCTATCTTGCATGATTTGCAGGATTTCACAGTCTGTTTGGATGTGAAATCAAAATTGCATGTGCAAATCAAATCTTTTCCTATCATCACAGGTGTTGAGGTTTCCGAACTACATTCCCAACCTACTGAGACACTCTCTGACCTGATACTGTATGAAGGAAAGGATACTAATCCTATCCAGTACAACTCAGTTGCAACCACAACCCCTGATTCTGGTACCGTACGTGGTGTGGATCTCTGGACCCTCAGCCAGTGGGGTAGCGAGCGCGCCAACGGCAACGGACCCCAACAAAACTACCAGGAGGAGGTTCTCTCCGGCTATCATGCTGCCCTCCCTGTTATGGCTGCTGGTGATACTCTAGACTTTGTGCCCCTCGCCACCAACTTTGATATGACAGGCCTCCGCTGTCCTCAGGTCAAATACATCTGTAATGAGCTCAGCAAGGACCCAAGATCCAGACCTGATTTTGAATTTACTGCTGTCCCTGATGAAACTGTACTCAGGAGTTGCTTTGAGGTACCCGATGGAGCTTGCAAAGGTAAGCATCTTATTTGCTTCTTCACTATTATACCACTCAAAACACACCAACACTACATTTCCCTGATAAATTCTTTGCCTCCTTGGAATTCTCTATGAGATGATTAATCTATCTCTTTGTGCTCAGGTGTTGTTTTCACCGACTTGGATTGGGATATGAGCCACGGACCAGTATCTGCTGATGGCCCAGATGATGTGCGCTTCAACGTTGATGTGAGCACTCTGCCCGAGAGTGGTGGAGCCGATGGTGATGGCTTGTGGCGTATTGGTGTCTTTGGAGCCCAGAACCCACAGGGAACCGGACCCCGTCTTGATTACAAGCGCCAGATCCTGACCCGTGGCCAATCCTCTACCCCAGCTGAAGGTGAAGGCATGCCCCTTGAGCTGAACGCTCTGGAGACCGAGTTCGACCTGTCCCAGATTGGCTGTGATTCCGAGTACCGCTGGCTGTGTCTGGAGTTCGCCAAGGGTCTACGTGCTAGCCCTGACTTCGAGTTTGAGATCAATGGTGGTGGAGATGTTATCATCAGCTGCAAGGAGCAGCCTTGCCGAAGACGTAAGTAAAATTTATCTGTGGGAGATGTTTTTCTAGGTCTAGTATTCAAAAGATTAAAAACACTAAGATTTCTTTTTATGCCTCCACTACAAAGTAGCCGGAGGCATTATTTTGTTATGATTTCTCCTGATTTAGTAGTGCCACTGTGAATAGGATTTTTAAAAAATGTTTGAACACTTATCCCTTTCTTTTTTAGCGGTAATGATCAATGATGTTGAGACCAATCCTCTTGGCAACGTTCGTGTGAACGAGGGCACCCGCAACAACCGCATCTTGTACGAAATGACAGCCTTAACCGACCCATCCAGTGGAAAGGCCCAGGGAAAGAACCTGTGGGAGATGTCTACTTTTGGAAGCAGCTTCCCAGATGGCCGTGGTAGGCGATTCAACCCCCAGACTGCATACACCTTCACCCAGTACCAGAAGGACAAATCTGCCTTCCCTGGTGAGAACATCCGCTATGGAGCTGTGGACACCAACATGGATATGACAGGCTTGACTTGCAACGATGTCAGGTACTTCTGTTCTGAGCTCCGCAAGGGAGATTATCCTAGCCCAGATTTTGAAATGATCGCCAACCCCACAGAAGATGTATTGACTGATTGCTTTGAGCTGAACTGTGAAGGTACAGTATGCCCTGTTATAAGATACACCTTGACACTGTTTTATAGGAAATTGTCAATGTTTTTTTTCATCTGTAGGCAATGAAATAAATGTTTTCATCTGTATTTTTTTCAACTTTTAGATGAATAGTATTTCATGTTAATTTTTGTCTAATAGTAAAAATTGTGGACATACTAGAGGTGAATGCAGTATTGAGATACATGTATATTTAGTTTAGAAAAATATGATTGAAAAGTTTCCCTTTGACACCCTGGGTTTTTCAGGAATAATACTTAATTTAGTGATTTTGGGTCATAATACAGCTCTTGTTCCTTACAGGATGGATACTTCATCAAAAAAATGAATCAATCATATTATTTATCATGTTGTAGGAGTTTTGATCGACAACACCAGGCTATCTCTGAACTCTGACTCTGAGCTGTCCGATGGACCCAACGACCTGTCCTTCGACTTCACCGTCAACTCCAACCCCACTGGAGGAGATGCAGCCGGTAACAACCTCTGGCGTCTTGAGACTTTCACTTCCAACAACAATGACGGCTCTGGCAGGCGCGACATCCTGCGTACCCAGACTCTGGACCCTGCCGATGCCAGCTACGATCTTGATGCCGGAAACACGATGGTCTTCCGTAACCTAGAGGCCCTTGTTGACTCTGCTGATGTCAACTGCGAAGAAGACTACTATCTCTGTGCTGAGCTCTCAAAGCATGTTGCCGCTTCCTCGGGTTTCTCAATGAGAGCCACCAGAGAGAATGCTCTTACTAGTTGTAGACTTATTCGTTGTGCCAAGGCTGGTAAGTCAATAGCTAACATGCCCTAGCTCTGGGAAAGCATTGAGCATTGTGATCTAATGAAATGCAAGTTTATGATAAATATGTTTTTAAACAAACTTTATGTATGTGTTGTCATGCTGTGAATAGTGTGAGATTTTTAAAGTTCTGTTATTTTTCTGGTACAAAATTTGTTTTATATGACACAAAAATTCAAACTACCTTCCAAATTTGATATTCATCAAGAGATAAAACTTGAGCCCTGTGTTCAATTCTTTGTTACATTTTTAAAAGATCAACGTCACACAAATAGACTCTCTCAAAATTTGTTCTTCATCATAAACTCCGGGAAAGGGGGGGGGGGGAGGATGTTGTTTGTCATACATTAGTCATACAGATATACTGTAAATAGTACTGATCTAGGATGACAGCATGATGTTCATTTATGGATATATGGCTAAGGTTTAAATTTCACTAAGTTTTGACTTCAATTATTCATAGTGATGCTAGAATAAAAATTAAAAGATAGGAGGTTTTCATATGCATTAATTCAATATGACTGTTATAACTTAAACCTTGTCACACTTTTTCTCCCTTTCTAATATTACGCATGAGACCTTCTGCACGAATCCTCACCTTGTTTGTCTGTTCTGTGGTTTGTGATGTTGTCTGTCCGTCCCCTCCATTAATCTAAATCAACAAAGCATGTTTGAGAACCCCCTTGTTTTGTCAATGTATTTTGATGTGAGGAGATCGATACATGTAGCTTGCATTTCAGATCTCGTAATCTGTGGGAGAGAGTAAGTATGATCGATGATCAAAATAAATATCTGCCCTACTACAAACTTTATATTTTAGACTCCTGATTGCTGTGGCTTTAATTCAAATTATAATACCTCAGAATATTAGGTATCCAAATTAACAGTCAAAGTGATTCAGGTGAAATAAGATGGCTTCAATGCCTAAGGGCTAGTTCCGATATAAAGCAGTATTTCACTTCACACTATGCTTTCACGGCATAATATAATCTATTTTAATTTATATATAAAAAGTTATGTTCACATACTAATTGACAAGTAGCCAGTGCATTCAGAAAAATATGTTGCCTTTGCGTAGAGAGCATTTTAATTAAATATGCTGCAATGGAGAAACTTGTGAGGTGATTTACTGCCTTGTATTGGAACAAGCCCTATCAACATCATTGTACAAATTTCTAATTCTTTTTTTGTTTTACATTTGCTTTCCTGCTTCTGCATCTGTGTCTTGATCCATCTCTGCAGCTCCACCTCCAGTAAGTAAACAGTAAAATATTAAGATGGACATGATCGATTTTCAGACGGCTTTAGCACATGTAAAACACTCTATACTCAGAAATGATGCCCCTGTGATTCTCAACAGCCACTTTGGCGAACCAGGAAGGTCATTCGTGTATTTCCGACAGGCAATCTATTTTACTGCTTGAAATCCGGATTGGAGAGTTGATGAAAAGTCAACATTCTTAAAATTACATCGACATGACATACCCCTGCAAATTATTATTATGATTTGATGAAGACTACGTCATCAAAGTAGAAATACAATCAAATATGAAAGTAGAAACATCAGTCGTTCAAATTTCCCAATGTATCAGAATAAACAAATATATTGCCTCTTTAAAAAAAAATCATGTTAAATAGCAGTTAATGTTATAAGAATTGGAAATTTTTACTTTGCATGTTGTAAAGATGCTGGAATCATTGTGACCTTTTGTTTTTGTGTCATCAGGTGCAAGGTCGACCAGGACCTAAGGGAGCCAAGGGAGAACCATTTGACATCCCAGTAAGTCTTTCTTCTTGATTTTAAGACCTTAATTAATAACTTCATGAGCTGGAATAAAAATGTAATAAGTTTCTATTTATGCATGATGTAAGATTTTTTTTTAAAAAGGGAATTTAACTCACAAAAAACATCTACACCAGTTGCTCATATACTGTGGTATGATATATTAAAAGTTGGCAGTGGGTATACATAAATCTAAAGTAGTGTTTGTAAAATACCCTGCCTTTAGACAAATATACTTAATTCCTCTTTTTCACATTATTATTATCTTGCCCACTACAGCCCGGTATGGTTGGACCCCCTGGAAGACCTGGATTGGCTGGATCAGTTGTAAGTTCTTCTTCACTTCTTTCTTTTTGTTTCTTCAACAGTAATGTTAGCTAGCTAGGGTACTACATTGGCAGTTATCAGAGAGCAAACAAATCTCTAGAATTACGAAAAATATCACATTAATAACTGTTAATGAAGAGAGACAGCCAGACTGAATGCTTCAGATATTGTGCTTGTCATAATTACATAATAATCCTATAGGTGACTTTAGGAGAATGGTTGTGCTACTCCATTTTGTAAACCTTTGGAAAAAATAATAACCCCCACAAGTCTCCAGTTTCCCCAAGAGTACCCAGTCTAGAAAAAATGATGCTCAAGTACTTTACACTTATATATTCAGTGCAATCTTAAACTAATTTTAGTGAAGTGCAGAATATGTACCTAATTAGTATTACACAAAGCTAAAAAGGATAGATTTTATATGTCTATGTGTCATTTTTCTTTTACATTCAGGGATACCATGGACGCCGTGGACCTAATGGACTCAGTGGACCTGCTGGACAAAGGGTAAGAAGTGCTCCTATACCTATCTCTAATGATCCGAGTCCATATTAGGGCCATCCAAAAATGATTACTTGAAACATGATCGGGTGGGCAGCCGACTCTGATCACCAAGTTAAAATGAATTTACCCCAAAAATCCTGAAATAGATGCACGTACAGGAAATTCGATAATAAGATTGGATTTTATATAGCTCAGATATTTTATAAAGTATCTGTGCTCTGTAGAATGTTTGGGCCTTAATTCTTTGATGTGAAAAAGCTTGACTTCGCTCCTGAAATTCAAACCCAATTTATGAATAAAGACATTTGTTAGAATGATACACTGATTGTATCAAAGTATTGTAATACAGCATTGTCTCAAAAATATCAACAAAGCTTGTAGATTTAGTGTCTCATCAATTACATATTGATGGGATTGTGTTTGAAAGCATACAAATCAGAGTAAAGAGTAGTTGTGTACTGTAAAACCAGATTCTTTTGCTACATCTAAAAACCCTGATTTGTGATTGACAATGGCAAGAAACCGCTTAACAAATATTCCTGTAGAGATTCATTCTGGTTTTAATAGGCGGCAGCAGGAAACTCTCATGAATCCTAACTAATCACAAACTCAATAAAAGTTTCATGTGCATGAAATTATCTACTTTCACAGTGCATGACCATATCGCTGTTTGAATATCAATGCTCATTATCTGTTCATTTGTATTATTATGATGACAGGGAGAAGATGGACGTGATGGTAACTCTGGTAACCGTGGAACCCCTGGACCCCCTGGACCTCCTGGCCCTCCTGGTGAGGTACGTATATCTGTCCCCCTCAAAACTCAAAGCCGATGGGAAGAGAGACTGGTGGTCCTCCTTGTTTCATATCACACAGAAGATCTACCTGGCGCCCGTTTCACAAAGCCTTTTTTCAATGACAAATGACAAAGATCAGTGATAAATCTGCTGATAACCAATCAGAAGCAAGGATTTCAGTAGCTTATAACAGAAACTTTCATTTGTCACTGATGACAAGTTTTGTGAAACACCCCCAGACTGTGTATCTAGCTGTGTCCGATTTGGCAGTTCACTGCTAATATTTGATATCACATTCTGTCAAACTTTAGTAACTTGTAGTACAACTTTCGGTACAAAGGTTTGCAATTAGTGAAAAGGTTAGCCGCCTCCAACATTACTACTCTATTACATTACTGGCAATTGAACATGAATTGGCAATTTCCTTTTCTGACCGTAAACATAAAGTATGGAAATAAGTACTTACTAATTTGCAGCCTGGTGTCAAAATAGGAAAGTAAATTGCCTATCCCTGTTCATTACTGATCAATGGAGTGACTTTTATTCCATCATCAATAACATGTCAACCCAAACATTTGCTCAGTACTTCTATGCAGTTGAATTTTCACGGGTGGTAAATCTTGTCACTTTTATCTCTTGGTTCTGTGAGAAAATACAATGTTAGTTTTCATGACGTGCAATTCATGTGGATATATGCTAATTGTTATTCTGTTCTGTTTTTGTTAGATGACTGCTGCTGCCCAGCAGTCTAAGGGACCTGCTTACACTGCACCCATCTACAATACCGCACCTGTGAGTACATAAGTCAGCAAACTTATTACAAAACCTCTGTCTAGTGTTTTCCAGAAAAAAAATGCGAAAGAATAAAGAGCTTTCCTGGGCTATTCTATTGTTCAATTTCTTGGGAACGAAAGTGGTTTGTATCATTTCATCAAAATGCGCATCACAATTGACTTATAACCTGTGTTTTATTGTTATTTGTAAGTGCTATATGTTACTATATTAGGACCGTTTCTAAGAAATCGGTTTGAAGAAGTTAGAGGGCTCGCATTGGTATTTATTTCTCTTTGTATTGGGTTGTTTTGTAATCATTTACTCATGCTTGTGTGTAAATGTTTTTATAGGATTTTTTCAATGAACAAGCTTTTGTAGATATCTTTCTGTCCATTACAATTAAAGTATATTTTGTGAAGTAAGGTAATAAATTGAATGTACCTATGATTTATATTCTTCACAAATGTATTGTTTAACAATGATTTTGATTTACCGTTCACTTTTTTCATCACTAGGGCCGTCCTGGATCCGCTGGATACAGTGGACACCGTGGAGCACGTGTAAGTGTTTTTTAACAAATTTTCTTGTACATCCGCTTGTAAATTACATGTCAGTTATGTCGAATGAATCATATGTCTCATCAAACATTAAATCAATGATAGCAGTGAAAGTTTTGATGGTCCAGATATTCAAGTATTTTTTCTATTAATAAATCATCTGTTTATCTTTGTTCGTAATCTACAACATTCCTTATTTTACACAACCTACGTGCATAACTGAAAATAGGAGCAGAAAAACAGAGCCAGGAAGACCTGGACTCTGTGATAGAGTATATGAGTTGACGCATTTCTAGCTCCAAATAGCTCCACATATGAAAACTTGTCTAGGCTTGTTTAAAGTTTTTTCTTTTACCAACATATTTATTGAAAACATTGTAAATATGACAAATGGAACTGTTGATAACTGGCAAGTTGGAGCAGTTTTTCACATCTAAAATCCACTGTTCATCTTGAATAGCCCAAAGCCATATAAGCTTGAGCTTTCTAACTAGGTGGGGTCTCCCCAACCAATAAAGTATTATTTGCTAAACAGAAATTGTAAACTTTTTTCCTTCTCAGGGACCACAAGGATTGACCGGACCAATGGGACCCCAAGGATCCGCAGGACCTATGGTAAGTCATTTATGGAACCTTATTATAGTCCTCCTCCGCTTATAGTACACATGCTCCTATGTATATTGTTCCTCTGTCAATATCCTACATTAAAGGATTGCTTAATTTTAATTTGGGACCAAACGCTATACCTTACCCTATCCCTGTATGACGTCATATCTTCAACAAAATATGCTGGAACACCCATCCACTCACAGTTTTGATGGACTGATCTCCATTTTACATATTCACTGCCATGCCTTAATTAGACTGTAATAATGTTAATGATAACGAGAATAACAATAGTGGTATGATGATGATGTATTTATATAGCGCATTTACATACGTACAGGTTCAAATGCTCTTTACAATATTATGTACCATTGGGTGCTAGTTAACTGGGTATTAGTTATTTGAAGAGCAGGTATTTCAGTCTTAAGACAAGAAACCATGGGTCTCTTGCAAAAAAATTATGTTGAATTGACTCCTGGATCAGCTGGTTACAGTGGACACCGTGGAGCACGAGTAAGTGATTTTTAACAAGCGACTCAAACAATCAAATGCAACCATGATGGAATGTTGCTAGGGGCTAAACAAATTGTACTTTATTAGAGGTCAATGTTTCTTTTATTTATTTTTTTCTTCAATTAGGGAATGTCTGGACCCCGTGGAGCACGTGGTGAAGATGGAGAGGATGGCAATGATGTAAGTTCACTCACTCAAGATTCAAGATTTTTTTCCAAAAACTTACCTTTGCAGCCAAATGGCTGAATAGCAATAGTTGTACAGATGACAAAACAAAATATTATATGCAGTGGGAAGCACTTGCAAGAAAACAAGTAAAATAAGTCTGGGCCCCGGCTTACAAAGAGTTTATATCAATCACAACATATTTGTGATTGATATCAATCGCAGCTATGTACTTAAGAGATAGGAGACTGCAACCTTGCGATTGATTTGAATCAATCGTAACTCTTTGTAAGACGGGGCCCAGGTCTCTAGAGCCAGGCAGTCTTTCTACACAGGTGATTGCTAAAGCTGGTTTCATTTATTATTGGAATAGAGTAGCTTAATTTTGGATGAATTATTAGATATACTGTTGGGTTAGATCTACAATAGTACTAAGTTTGATAACAATGTATTAAAGAAAAAGAAATTCGAATTTGGACAACTCTTACAAATTTATGTCAATATTGAACCTTAAAGAACTTCAAACAATAGTGATTTACTTTACATGGATAGGTAAGTGAATAAAGTAGTTCTGTTATTCCAAAGATTTATAGCTTGTGAGGAAAGGATGGGTCTGGAAGATACCGTGGTGGAAGTGGTAAGGAGAAGTGGATTGAGATGGATGGGTCGTATGTTAAGAAGGGAGGATGATGATCTGTGAAAAGAGTGTGGGATCTGAAAGTAGATGGCATAAGAGGGAAGGGATCCAAAGACAGAACACTTCATGGAAATATAATAATGATGAAGAAATAAAGCAGTAAGGTTGGTCTAAATGAGAAAGATGCTTGAGACAAGAAGAAGTGGATGGAAGAAGTGTGATCATGGCGCGAAAGTCAGTTACCCCTCATAAGAGGGAAAATGCTGACTTTAACAATTGATGATCATGATTACATAATGTTTCTCTTCTTTTTTCTCCTTTCTAGGGACAAAATGGAAGGCAAGGAGAAATTGGACTTGTAGGAATCAGTGGCCGACCTGTAAGTATTCCTGTTCTTTGAAAGCAGTCTTCCGCTTTGTGAAATGTGTAACTACAAACACCAATTGTGCTCTGACTAACTTTTTGTTTGTATATTATTTTTCTGAAAGAAGATTTTAACAAACATTTTCCTGTTTCCCCCCATTTTCGGTGGAATATTGTCAGAAGGAACTTATGAACAAGGACTCAATACTGTTACAACCATCTTACAAGAAGGAACTTAAGAACAAGGACTCAATACCATTACAACCGTCTTACAATATATTAATTGTTTTTAACTTCTTAAAAATATGCCAAGTAAAATGTCTGTTGTTATTTTTTATAGCAATTTGAAGAGAGTTTTTGTTAAAACTTTGATAGATATTTGCAAATTTATGTTACGTCTCCGATCTTTTGTTTTACAGGGTCTAGGTGGAATGCACGGAATGTCAGGCAACCCAGGACACAAAGGATGGGGTGTAAGTAAATTAGTCATTGGCGTTGTTTCACAAAAGTACAAGTTCTCTAAAAAAATGTCACACTGGAACATGCGTAAAATGTAATACATGCGTTTCATTAGGTTGTCAGCAAACTTATACGTATGCATGTTTCTCTCGAGAAACCCAGGACTATTTAATTTACCTGCTACACATAATGACATCTCTATAGATACATTGTCTGTTGCTATGTCTGACAAGCTGTTGAGTTGCAAAGGAGAATCTCCTCAAGAAGTATGCTTACAATTAGTACAGAGGTCTATTCACCATTCCTGCCATACTGAACACACAACAAAAATCCTACTATTAAAAGGTGTACCATAATGTTAGAAAATACATGTATTTTGATCAGTTTTGCATATATTATTCATGCCTGTTGCCTATAGGCATGAGAAATTTGTTTGGTCTTGGGTTATCTAGATTTGGAGTTAAAATACATAAATAAAAACAAACTATTAGCAGATATACACCATTTATAGACTAAATGGAGATATAAAAAAGATACCTGTAAAGCTCTTGATGATACAAAGTTAGAACAACTACTACAGACTAATTGTAAGTGGAAACATTTTTCCTCTTCTTGCGCAGGGCCGTCATGGAGCTCCCGGAGCAGCTGGAGAGAGGGGAGAAGCTGGAGAAGGTGGTAACATGGGCGCAAGCGGACCCGTCGGAGCAGTAGGAAATCCTGTAAGTAACATCCATGACAATCATACCAAAAGGATAAACTTAAAATTTTTAATTGAAAGCTGATCTACAGTAAATGAATACGTAACATGTATAGCGTTCATGTGATAATGATACATGGTGTTGTAATAATTTAATTAATTATAAAGCCTGTTTTAGATGGAATACATGGGCTGTTGATTAGACTATGAAGAATTTTAAGCAAATGGTAGCAGTACATTTTCAGATGTTTTTGTAAGAAGTTAAGGCAACACAGGGAGTTTGTAGTATACTTCAATTGAAACATTAGATCTGCTTACTTAATTTGTTTGTTTATTTGTCTGTCTTTTTCAGGGACAACGTGGACCAAGTGGATCTCGTGGAGGTGCTGGATCTAAGGGACCTATGGTAAGTCATTTATCTTTTTGATGCTCTCTACCAAAGTCATGAACTCTTAAAGGCCCACTGCACTACTGGTAGCTACTTGCGCCCTCTATATAACAAACAATGCCTAATCGGTGACCATTGGTCCCCCATAATCCTCTTTTTCTTATGTTAACTGAGAGCTGAGTTGATGAGATAACCACCTGTCCAGTGACCTTGTAGAGCGGTTTAATCCCTCCTGTAAACTACGGCAGATAAGCTTTAAATTACATATTACATGTAAGTTATTATCACATGTTAGAACATGTAGTAGGATCGGATAGCGTGCAGCTATTTACTATCTTAATAGTGCCTAGTGAAGATGTTCATCGGCCATTTAAAATATATAGTTTGGAGGCCTAATTAACAGCTTTAAAAAATACGTTAAAAAGTAAGCTAGTGATCATCATTAATAACCCCTTTTTTGTCTTTTTGCAGGGAGATTCCGGAGAGCGTGGATCTAATGGAGAACAAGGACCAACCGTAAGTATGCTGAAGAAAATAAAATGGCAATCTAGAGGAGAATATTGAGGTCTTGGAATAAATATACAGTTAGTGGACTAGCTTCCACACAATAAACCGAGAGGCATTTGTAAAGAAAATATTAAGAAACACTCCATCAGGGTTAAATGCATTGCATCAATACTATGATCTACGTTCTTAGCCAGGTTTTGATGATCTAGATGATTTAAGTATTGTTTTCCTTAATTATTATCTCTTTTTCTTTATTAGTAATTAATCTACAAAATTCCTTTAATATAACTTTTCCTGCCACCTTTAAAAGATCCCGGTAATCATACCTACATGTATTCTCATGTTTTTTTACAAGATTTAAATAATTTGATATTTATATTTTGTTTGCTTTCTTGTTGGTGTACATGCTATGGTACTTTTGTGTTGTTGCATGTAATTATCACATATATTATTTATTAACTTTTCAGGGAAACATGGGACCTCTTGGACCATCTGGACTACCCGGAGCGAATGGAGCAACGGTAAGGAAGAGAATTCATTATTATATTTCGGTGGAGTGCAGGTTGCAGCAAAACCATTTGCAATGTTCAATTTATAAACATATATATGTTAATTATACAATTCTGAATGTTTTTAGACCATGTTCAATACATGTATGTTTTTAAAGTGAATTTTGACAATTTAATAAACATTGTGAGCCAATAATTGTAACTCATATCCATGAATACAGACCTTTCTAATACCTTTCTGGCTTTCAACAGTCTATGTTTGCCTTCCTTTCAAATCAAACACCACAGTTTCTTGTGCAGTGGGAAATTAATATTAAAAGCTCTGAGTTGAACAAAATACGTAATATAACAAGGTATTCTTCTCATCTTTACTCTTTTAATTCTTTTTTTTTACTCTGATGTATTGTCACAAGATAATTTTCATGGTTCATATGTATTGATTTTCTACTGTAGATGTACATTCATACCTGGAACACTTCATTAATTTATTCTTGTTGAATTTTTGTTGATATAGGGAGACTCAGGTATGCAAGGAGGACAGGGATCATCTGGACCAGTCGGTCTTGTAGGAGAGTCTGGTTCTCGTGGCAAATCTGGTTCTGCTGGTGCCCCTGTAAGTCACTTTCTCTTAACGTTCTCTTTAATAGCACAATATAGATATTACTTCATGAATAATTTGCCTCAAACTGCATCTCGGGATTGACAAATTTATTGTCATATATTATCACATGGTGCTTGTGATAATAGTCAACTATTAAAAGCTGTCTGATACATGTTCTGGAATGTGACAAAAGCGGGGAAAAGAGTTAATGTAAGGTTGAGAATTATTTAAACCTACCCCTCCAATATTTACTTTCATATATCAAATCAAAAGTCTGAGACATATTAAGTTTCTAATCTGTAGTTCACATTGCTAACCCAAGCACTAATCCTAATTAAAGTTAACTTTTTGGAAGTGCTGCAAATCATTATACCTTTTTTAATGGTAGTCCTGTTGTAATAGTCAACTGCAAAATATACATTTATATCTGATCTGCAAAAATATAGCTCAAACATATCCATGTATATTTTGGTCTCCCTTCAAGAAATAGTTGGTGTAAGCATAAACTTCATATATGCATGTATTTTGGAGTACACAGTTCATATAATGTAGCTTGCTCCTTCTGTAAATTTGCAAATGGACTCATATTAATTGTCTGCTTCATGACTCTAAATAATTTTCATTATTATTTTTATTATTTGTTGTCCTAAATACTTATGTTTGAAATTATTGTTGGCAGGGTATCCCCGGATCCAGTGGAGACAGTGGAATTATTGGAGAAATGGTAAGTGCTTTATATTGAACCCTTTGTGTGACGTACGTACAGTAATAACTTTTTACCATCAAAGTTTAATTCACATTTTGTGATAGTTCTTAATGTATACATAGAGATGCTTCAAGAAAAGAAGAGGAAATAAACAATATACTCTCCAAGTAAGAAATTGAAAGTTATGTGTATTAAGGTAGAGGTTAAAGCTTTTTGAAATCAATTTTCAGTTGATCAATTCTACCATTGTTGAACATCAGGCTCATTTATTGCACATTTATTTATTAAGTGCATTGTCAAAAAGTCTTGTAATAAAATGTACTTGGAAAAAGTTTCGAAAGATGTAAATTTTAAGTTGCCCAGTTGCGATTGCCTAGGAATATGTGAAATTTTGTCAGGTATATGTGAAGAGATGTATAGCCACATTCCAGAGTGGTGTGAATAGCCAACAATTGTCAAAGCAAGCATCTTTGTATGTTTTGTCATTGTTTTTTTTTTTAACAGAGATATGTCATTTTATGCATCTCTTTCACTTTTCACGTTTGTCAGGGAATTCAAGGAGAGGTTGGAGGACCAGGCAGGAATGGAGCCCCTGGACTTCAGGGATCTATTGGACCCGTTGGTATTGGTGGAGAAAGGGGAGATGCCGTAAGTACTATTTCGCTCATCTAAGCATTTAACTTAAGCAAACCGACTTTAAGGCAAAAATATTTGCTGATAATCATTGTGACGTCTCATAGTCGATCAAAAACGTGTCACATTAAATGCATGCTAATTTTGCACAACCTATTATGACTCTGTGTGAAAACCATATACCTGCCAATCAAGGCCTCTGAAATAAATGGCTTAAGTCTGCTATGGAGCTGTCTTAAATTTAGGATAAAATACAAGTACTTAGCCCAAGCTTCGATTGCATACCAAAGTTGGCCAAGCATTTTATCTAATCCAAAAACTGAGAAAAATCTATATTTCTGATATAAGTGTCGAAATGAATACCGACCCTAGTACTTTTCATCTATTTGCAAAAGTTCTCGTATTCAGTCATGTATGCCATTGATGTTGATGTAATTGTTTTTGTTCACTTGACAGGGTCTCCCAGGATACATGGGATTGACTGGAAGCCGTGGACCTGCAGGACCATCGGTAAGAATAATTCATCTCTTTGCGGGACAAAGGAGGGTGTTAACTCTCTGTTAAAGTATATGAGGTAATACCCTTCTGAGTCCAACAAGACAATTGATGCATTCTTGCAAATTTTTTGTTTTTATAGAATGGCAGAAGTCATTGCAAATCTTTCAGGGCGATTTTCACAAGACAAAGACAGTATTCAGCTGGTAATTATTGGGTAAATTGTTGTAAAAATCCCCATATGAAAGTACAAATGGAATCAAGTACTTTTTGGTGAAGTAAATCATGATTGTGTTTTTTTATGAATAAAGGATACTTTGATACACCAGAACCTGATAGAGAAAAAAGAAAAAGAACTTTAAAATAGATGCATATTAGGTCAAAAAATCTAATAACAATAGGATATGTTTGTATGCGTGTGGGCTGGGAAGTTTGTTCTCATGCAATATCCATACTTCTTTTAAGATTACAAGGGCATGAAGCTCTTTTTTCTGAATTCAATATCTTCTGCATTGTTTCCTCAGCTTATTATAATTATGCTTTTACTGTTCAGTGTATTCAGGAATGTTTCTTTTTACACATAATAAATAAAGTATGCGATAAAAAATAATTCATTATTTGAGATTTATAAGATTTTAAGATTTCATTGCAATTGTTTTTTTTCAGGGAGCCCGTGGAATTGGTGGAGAACCTGGACCAGCTGGCAACAGTGGATCAGAGGTGAGTGTCTGTGAAATCAATTAACTTTAAATTAAAAATAAAAATTATATTAAAGACCTCTCCAAAGTTATTGAAATGTGAGTGACATGAAAAGAACAAAAATATTAAAAACATGAAAATATGATTGTGTAATCATGCAACGAAGCGTCGTTTATTGAATCTCTGCTTTCAAAATGTAAGGTTTCATCTCATCATATATGAGAGTGAAATGAATGGTTTAGTGAAAAATGTAAAATGCTTATCATATCGAAGTGTTAAAGAATAGAATTGCTTGTTATTACGAGAAAATTTCTTTTGTAATGTTGAAATAATTTAGGAAAGCCGATAAAATGTTAATCTTAAAGCTCAAGATTCATTAAAGCTTCCTTACCTAGATGTCTTGAGAAAAGCAGACGAATAAGTGAATACAAAGAAGGAATTGATATTGATTCATTTATTTGTCATCTTTTCATTGACAGGGAGAAACTGGATCGACTGGACCTTCCGGACCTCGTGGACCAATGGGAGAACTCGTAAGTTTTTATTGTGACTGAGTGACTGCTTTAAAAAAAAAAATCATACGATGTATATTTCTAACTGAAATTGAATTATATCTTCTTACAAAGAAAATGATCGGCCTTAGTTTTTTATTCTGAAAGTAACGGTCAACAGCTCGAAAAATGTAAACTGAGTGGGGTGGTTTACGAGTGAGATGGGGGCCGTGTAAAATGAAAATCAACTTTGAATCAATCATCAAAAATCTGTTTTACTTTCAATCTTGCTGCAATGAATAACATCTATATCTTATCATCCATTGTACAGTGCATTAATAGCATAAATTTAATGTAAGTGACTGTATTGTAAAATGATGATTGATTGATTCATGTGATGGAGATAACATCAATTTTTTGGAGATTGATTTGGACAGTCATTTGTAATTTTCTTATGCTACAGGGCTCAGCTTTCACAAATCATTTTAATTCTAACATTAATTGTTCCTTACAGGGAATGGGTGGTGGACCTGGAATGCTTGGAGCCCCTGGAAACAGTGGATTCATGGTGAGTTTCATAATTTCTAAGCTAGTTATTATTATTCAATTTGTGTTTCTCAGGTTTTGTATTGATAGGGATAGAATGTTTTATAAGTTAATGTATTAATTGAACCATTTGACATTACAGTCTCCAGAAAAATTTGCCTTGAATTCAGGCTTTAGGATCAGTAGGTATGCTGATTATATTATATACATGTACATTTGGTAAGGTATATATCTTCAAAGGGAAATGTATATTATATATATCTTCAAAGGGAAATGTGCTCATGTAATGAAATTTCATTACCTGACCTGCTGGATATGATCTGATTTTGGTGTAAGACACACTTTTCAAAGACTGTAACCAAATTTATCTTTGGCTAAGTATTCACAGGATTAACATTTGAACATACGATTGGTATAATTAACCGATGGCATATGGGATCTGGGTTGATCGTGCATCAAGCTTCTGAGAATGACAACCCAGTATTAAATCAATTAATGATTGGAAATTCATCTGTTTGGAAATGAAACCTTTATCAAATCATTGTATTTGTTTGGACAGTAATTATTTCAAGATTATGTTGTAGATAGAAAATAAGATGGCATAATCCTATGAGATCTTTTGACGTGACTACAAAATTATATATATATATATTTTTATTACAGGGTGATCAGGGCGAGTCTGGTGAACAGGGAAGCCCTGGTGAGCCTGGATCGAGGGTAAGTTGTAGTAAACATCATTGATATCATTACTAGTATTATTGAGGTATTAACAACTGTAAGATAATGAAGCATGTTCCAGAGGGAAGGCAAACATATAAATGTTGCAACAAGGATGCTGGGAAAGAGAAAAGAGAAACTCAGTGATTTTGGCTATTCTTTATTTCACAATCACTGGTCTTCATGGCAATGTTTTTTAATGATTTTTAATATGAATTAGATGTAGCAAAAGTCAATTAAAGAATTAATTGAATTTATTTGTCATTAAAAAGTGCATATACATTGTGGAACATACAAAAAAGAAAATAAGAAATGAATCAATATACCTTGATAGGATAATCCAAGAAAGCTGATAAGTAGCTATTTCCAATGGGGTTTTCAATGTGTTTTTTGTATTTGCTTGCATGTTTGTGGATCTATTGAAAGCTCTTTTTGAGGTGTTTCACTGTGTCTTGATCATTCTATTTCAGGGAACTAATGGCGAGCCTGGTACCCCTGGACAGACTGGACCCAACGTGAGTATACTATTGCTTTCTTTTAGGGTACAACTTCTAATTGAGATAATACTAGTCTGTTAAAGATGGTAGAATATGTAAAACATTGTTTATACCTGTAATTCACAAATAAAAAGTACTAAAATCTTTATTAAGGACATACATGTAGCATACACTAAGTGAGACGGTAGCATGTTTTAATAGCCCATTGAATACCACAATTTAAATTGTTAATTATCTGTTGTTTTAATGATCTCCGTCAGAGATCTTTACTTGAAATGTGTACAAGTCAGCGTTTGTTGTTGGGTTTCTTCTTTCAGTTGTGAGAAGCAAAATTTACCCCCTTAACTCTCATTTTTTAAACAATTTCTTTAACAATTTCTTTTTCTCTGTTCTTTGTCACAGGGCGCACCTGGTGAAGACGGTCTTGCTGGAAACGATGGAAAGACTGGCGCAACCGTAAGTTTACAGTTATATGCCCTTTAATACTATGCCAGTAATCATACTTTGCACAGGTTCTTCTAAGCACAAGTCTTTTTATGTCTATGATAGCAAGAGGCACCTCTCTACATAGTCCACTCGTCTATTGATCATTGCCATATTATTGTCTTTCCCTAAGAAAAGGTATGCTTGTATCGTGCGTGATGACAAACAAAGAGTTTCCACAAGCAAACTAATGTCAAGTGATGTAGAGGATTGCAGGAGATATTGAATTTAAGAATAATTCAGTTCCAGTGAAGGCTTGTTTTTGCTGTAATTTGTAATGTTCAGGACAAGGTGTGCACGGGAAAGACATGGCATTACGTAAAAGCATGCACTTTTCCAAATTGAATACACACAAAACTCATGTGACTGTCAATCTATTATTATTATTTCTCCTTACAGGGTACCCCAGGTAGGAGTGGACCTCCTGGAGCCAATGGTGACCGAGTAAGTTATCTCTCATTCTTTAAAGTTCTTTGGAATAGAACCTAGAAGGAATTCATTCTTCCAATTACACTAGAATTCTATAAACAGTAGTTGTAGATGTGTTCACATAAATGTGTAAAGAACATTGAAAATTAGTCTTAATTGTGATATGACAATTCATATACAGCTCATCAAGGTTGGTTTCAAATGATCCAATTTTTATTATGTATTTTTTTAATACTAAAGTCTGTATATATATATGTGAACAAAATTCATGAGTTTTAGGGGAAGGGCATGATAAAATTTGAATGGGAATTCGATCAGGAGATTGACCTTCATAAAAATAAAAAAATTAATTTGTTTTCTTTATTCAGCTGGAGTTAGGGTATTATAGTTTTCAAATGAATTTGAAAAAAAAGAGTTGCTGGTAAATGGTGTATTATAGATGAATATTTGTATCATTGTAATTTCACTACATTCATTATCCATTAAAAATCCATTTAAAAACTTCTTGATACAAAGTTGTTAAATGAGCACGAGTTCCTTGCAGTTGTTGATGTTCCCCTTGGACTTTCAATAATTTAATATGTGATATTTGTTTTTGTGTTCAGGGAGGCATGGGACCCCCAGGAGCACAAGGACCCCCAGGCATTGGTGGAGAAACTGTAAGTACAATGAGATGGTTGAAAATTGTAAAATAATGCACACTATATGTCATCAATTTGATTAGGTCTTCCAATAACCTTGGATCTTTGAGATTGTCTAACCTCAGTATTGTTGTCAGGGTTTACATATTTTTATGTAAAAAATGTTTACAGAGTTGTATATCTTTCTTTTCATAAATGATGCATTGGTGTTGTCGTGAATAAAATTTCACAATGGTACTGCTATTTCAGGATAAGTGTCATTCGTACGAGAGGATTATTTAGTGGAGGATAACTGAAAATTACAAATTTTTTAAAAAGGTTAATCGGTTTTAGAAATGCCCCAAGTGATACCACATTTTTCTGTTGATGTCTGATGTTTGACATGTTGCATTCTTTTTATAATCATTCATAGGGATTCAATGGCAACACTGGAATTCAAGGAACCCCTGGAACCCGTGGAGAGGCTGTAAGTATATTTCCTATGTTTTCATCTTAAGATACCGGGAGAACTACCATTTCATTCATCTCGCTCATTCCCAAACTGACACTGCAAGTCCCCCAATCGACCATTCGCTCAGAAGAGGTGTCATAGTTAGGTGGTTTAAGTACTTGACTGGAAATGTATTTGCATTTTGGAATGAATTTTGTTGAAATGTTTGAAGACGGAATTTTCAGTTCAATGATGGATGGAATTAAGTTAGTCCCACAAGAAGAGAGAAATGGAGAGAAATGCATAGTCTTTCAGATGAGTACCAGAAGATGTGGCTTTCATGTCTATTGCCTTCTCTGAATAAATATGATTAGACCATTCCAGAGATAACATATCCAAATGACCTTAAGCTGCCCATGCGCAGATAGTATCTCCAAACTGGCTTTACTTATTAGAGAAGATTTGTTTTTTTCCTCACTCCAGGGTGTTGATGGAGAGCCCGGTGCAGCTGGTCAATCTGGTCTTCCTGGATCTCCTGGTAACCGTGGAGATTCTGGTACCCAAGGACCCGTTGGTATTGGTGGATCTCAGGGAGCCCCTGGTCAACCTGGATTGACTGGAACCCGTGGAGCCCGAGGAAACAATGGACCTAGTGGACCCCGTGGAGGACTCGGTGTCTCCGGAGACGCTGTAAGTACTGGGACCCGTTTCACAAAGCCCTTTTTTCAATGACAAATGACAAAAATCAGTGACAAATCTGCTGATAACCAATCAGAAGCAAGGATTTCAGAAGCTTATAACAAAAACTGTCAATCGTCACCGATGACAAGTTTTGTGAAACACCCCCCTGGTCTCTTGCTCTCTTTGTCATGTACCCCTTTTAATTCTCCACTAGTATATCCTCAGCAGTTGTAACAAAGTAGCTGGGGAATAGAAAGACCTTTCCAAATTTCTGAATTTACAGTACATGTTATTATATCATAGGGTGATCAAGCCTGAAACAATTCAAAGTATCCATGTACTATAATTCTATTTCACATGGTTGATATTGAGGTCTGCAAGTGCATGACAATCTTGTTTTTCAATCCATTTTACAGGGCGAACAAGGTCTGCGTGGAGCTGCTGGACTCCAGGGAGCCTCAGGTATTGTTGGAGAACGTGGAACCGAGGGACGTTCAGGACGAAATGGAGAAGTTGTAAGTATACTTTTAAAAAAAGACTGCAGTTTCTGCGTTGAACTTGAAAGTTGAAAGGCAAATATGTCCTGTTTGGTATGAAACATGAAATGTGTTGTGTACATTGAACTGTTAAATTGTTCTTAATTATAATGATATTAATAATAAAAAGTTAAAAAAGAAATACTTTGTATTGTTGACCAAGGGAGTCTGTTCTCTCTGAGGGCGCTGCAATCATGTTGTAATCAGAGCCATATATATATATATATATATATATATATATATATATATATATATATATATATATATATATATATATACAGAGTTTGGCCAACTGGGTTTCACTAGGTCTCAACATGGCTTATATTCTTTTGTTTTGTGCTTGCCCAACAAAGCAGTAGTCACCAAATTGTGTCCAGCTCGAACTGGGGTGGCCACACTATGTGTATAGATGGCTCTGATTGTAATTGACCTGCGATCAATTGTGATTGAATTGTCAAATTAGTTAATAGATTACCTGGGTGAGACCCTCTCCTATGACTCTAAATTTCTGATCCTTGAGGTGGTTTATGAATCTGATATGTGGAGTGATTCAGCAACATAATTTCTGATACTTCTACTTACAAATGAGGACAAGCCTTGTCTGATGACTCACCGAGTCATGGTAGCTCAACAGTCAGTAAGAACTAGAATGTATGTATTAGATAGTTATTGTATGGTTCATGGCACTTCACATTTCTCCTCTTCCCTCGTCATTGACAGGGACCTACTGGAATTGGCGGAAGCATGGGACAACCTGGTCTTCGTGGATTACCTGTAAGTAAAAGATATTATCATTCTATACTTAATGAGTAGTTTCCTGTGTTGGAAATAAGTAAACTAGTCATTTCTTGTATTGTCCTTTGGTTAAAAAGAACACTAATAAAACGTTATATGTAGTCCATTTATCACCAATGTTCCTTCAATCATAAATATTTCATTAATCACTGTATATTAGGAGAGTTCAATTTTTGTTGTCAGTTCTAGTAACATTTCTCTTGCCTTTACTATTTAATTTGTTATATTATTAAATTCAAGGAAACCGGTTTGATTTGGGCGCAAACATAATCATTTTGTCAGTTTTTGTTTTACTTGAGTCTAATCCTTATCAAGCAAACCTTATCCAACACTGAATTAAAACAAATATATACTTTAAAACTTTTATTTATCAAGTAATTCGTACATACATCTTGATAACAATAATCATAAAATCACTGCACAATGATTACAGAAGGTAAAAACAGATGAAAAACATCAAGCAATACAAAAATAGTGGGTTACACTTCCCTTTCTACAGTGTATATCATAGGATATATAATTAACACTATGAATTAATACAGTGTATGTTGGGTAGCACATGTTTGCTTTATCATGATTAATACCATTTCCCTCCCTTTGATGATTATGTTCTCAGGGACCACCTGGTCTTCGTGGTGGTGTTGGAGGTCTTGGTGAGATGGGTACACAGGGTGACCGTGGACCATCTGGACCCTCTGGACCCTCTGGAAGGACTGGTGAAGCTGTAAGTATATAGCCTTTTCTTCCCTAATTAGTAAATTCTCATCAATCGAGGCTGGTATAGGATGAAAGGGTCTCTGTATGAGCTGCTGGTGATCATTGAGATTACGGAACCAAAGTTTCATCGTTTTCTGTTATTCTTTGCTATTTCACTCACTTTTTATTAAAAGCCATTCAGCATAAATCAGAAGATCATGAGAAATATTTTGAGATTTTTAAAGATTTTCATTGCCATTCCAAAGCTGCTTGCAAAGTACACAATCAAATGCATTGTATATTATTCCTTTTGTTAAAAAAAACAACCATTCTAGTCTAGTCATGTTCTCAAATCTTTTGAATAACATTTGCATTTGACATATTGACTGAAATTAGAGAACTTAAAATCCTGTTTGAATATGAGAATGTTTTTATGTTTTACATTACATATTTTATAAAGAGGTTTTTGTTAATTCCTCTGATCACATCATAATCAGTAAAAACAGATATAAAGTACTGTGCATGTATGAATCCAGAAATGCCTTCTACTCTCAATATATCATACTAATAACTGCATTAACAAAATCTTGTATCCTTCTTGTGAGATAAATTTAATTCTATTCAGCCGAGGTAACTTTTTTTCTTTTTTTCCTTTGCTAGGGTGGCTTGGGACCTTTGGGACCTATGGGTGTGACCGGACAACGAGGAGACAATGTAAGTAACATTTCAAATGTTTCATTAAATATCAAGAAAGGTCACTATCACCTTGACACTTGTTCAGTATTGAGAGGAAAATTTACAACTTAAATTTACAACTGTCTTTTTTGCAACATAAACATATATACACTGTATAAGCAAATGACTCAAAAATCAATCTGTTGAAAGATGAATACTTACCATACTTTTTTGTTAGATTTGAGGCATCTGTACTTAGTTTAAGCTGAATTAAAATGCAATACTATCACAAGTTTTTATGTTTGATTTTTGATTCCAAATCAAGAAATGTACTGAAAGTCAGATACCTGAAAGTGGTATAATATTGTACCCAAACCAAAAAAAGGGTTAGTGTGATTGTACCTGGCTATCTGTGTAGATATTGTGATGAAGTATTTGTTGTAAGTGAAATGGTGTTGTATTATCACAATTATACAACCAACTTTTTGGACGACTATGCTGAAGTCCTGTTGACATTTATTTTTAGATGGCATAGTTATGTTTTTATATGTGTAGCATAATGAGGTGATTTGCTAATTAATCAACATCATGTCTCCCCTATTTTCCCTCCAGGGCAACCCCGGAGACCCAGGACCAAACGGACCCTCAGGACTAAAGGGAACACGCGTAAGTGTGAAATCCATACCAAAGATAAATAGTGTATCTTAACAGTCTTCTAGCTGTCATTAGTGATGTATGAAAACATGCTGTGAATTTCATACGAGTAACACGAGAGGGATCAAAAGGAAGCATGTGCTAGTTGAATTTATACTATAGGTTAGAATTATTGTATCAAAACTTTTAGATAGCTCTCAATGTATTCTGGAATATTTAACCAAAGTAACAATGAACTCTCATCACAGCTGCTCTCTCTCTTTCTGTAATTCTTGAATTCCTGACATCCTCTAGTAGCATTCTGGAAGTGACTAATGAGTCCTTTACACACTTTTTCAAGAGATATGTTTCATAACTCTGAAAGTAGTATGAAATATGAACGTAATGCATGCAAAAACATGTTAGAAATAGGTAAGAATGTTGATTTTTAACTTAAACATGTCTTAAGAATGGAATGAAGCTAATGGTAAAATCTAGAAGCAGAGAGTGGTTGACTGACATGACCGCCAAAGTCCATAGATATGGCAATGAGAGAGCGAGAGAGATGAAGAAGCAAGGAAGCAAGCGTGTATAATTGATAAGAGTTTTATTTTTGAACAAATTGTTATTGATTGTTTTTGATGCAGGGAGCTGGCGGAGAGAAGGGATCAATGGGATCTCGTGGAATCCCCGGAAACCCTGTAAGTATTCACATTTTTCGTATTTTTCGTATTTTTGCCTGGATAAAGAATTTATGCAAATGTGTTTTGATCGGACAATAGTGATACCATGTTATCACATCAAATGAAGGTTAAATTCTTGTAATTTACAAATAAAAATAGCACATTCTATGATTCTCACAACATGTTTCCAAATATGTGTGTGGCTTTCATGATCTTCAATTTTTTTTATTAAAACTTGAAACAAGTGATTTATTTAAAGAATGTATAAATCTTTCATAGAAACTATGAACAGAATATATGACAGAATAAATGTTGACTAGTTTAGAATTCACTTATGTGATGAATATTCATCAATGTTTTATTCTGTTACCAATCTTCTTACTTAAAGTACAAGAACAATGTTAAAGTTTATTTCCCCATTCATATGTGTTGTAATAACAGCACTAGCTATCATCTGTCACTCATAAATACTCATTGATGGTTTGAATTGATTTGCAGGGACCTGGTGGCGCCCCTGGTGAACGTGGACCTAGTGGCTTGAACGGAGAGAAGGGAGAAGCTGGACCTTTTGGTAGCCAGGGTAGACCTGGTAGGAGCGGACCTCAGGTCAGTATTTTAAAGCCCCACTACACTACTTAAAGCTACTTGCGCCCTCTATATAGCAAACAATGCCTAATTGGTGCCTGTTGGTCCCCATGATCCCCTTTTTCTTATTTAAATTGAGAGCCGTTTAATGAGATAACAACCTGTCAGTGACCTTGCATGGCGGTCTAATCCTTGGCCAAACTAGTACAGACGGGCTTTAAATCGAAAGTGAAAGTGAAATTGAAACTGAAATTGAAGTTGTCATAAAACATTGCATCAAAACATGTAGTCCAAGGGCTTAAATTCTTCAATTATGTAATAAAACAACATGTGCAAATATATTAATATCAACATTAAATCTTGGACGTATCAATTATATGTAACCATGTCAAAATAAGACTTAGCCACTTGGACACTTAGCCACTTGGACATTTAGCCATTACAGTAATATTTGAATGTGTATTGAACATACTGTGTGTTTGTAGTAAATGTTTTGTAATTGTTGCATTTACATGTCGATTTCGTAGTAATTAAAACTAAGTAATAACCTCGAAACATGTACTTGTTTATTTTGACATATGGTGGTTTTGTTATTAATTTTTTACCATACATGAACAACTGTCATTCTGGATGATGTTGAAGGAACTTATATTGATCAAGTTTAAATTGTATTGTATTGCAGGGTAACATGGGCGCCCGTGGAGAACGTGGTGAAACTGGCAACCAAGGAGCACTTGTAAGTATAATATTTTTATACTTCTTATATTTTGTTTCTTTGTGTTATACAACAATGAAATGACATGCTACACATAGTTCTGTTTTTTTAAATTTGCTGTTCGTATGAAGAATTGATGATAAAGAACAAAAATTTAAGTACATGAATATGAAGTGAGCAATGAAGAGCTTTGCAGTTGAGAGTGCTGATCTACATAAATTAATTGTTTAGATATTTTTTCTGTATTTACTGATTTTTCTAGTCATCACGAAGAAGACGAGTTTAAGTTAATCATAATTCTTCACTGCCTCTCTCTGACTCTTGCTCTCTCTCTCTCTTTCTCTCTCTCTCTCTCTCTCTCTCACTCTCTATTTACCTCTTTACTACAGGGACCTAGTGGATCATCTGGAATGAATGGACCTCCAGGAGTCGTTGGAGAACCAGTAAGTAATCCAACATACCTGTAGTTCATGACTGACAGTAGCCTACTGTGCAGAAATGTTAGAAATATAACATGTTTCAGCTATTTCCATTGTGATACTAGGCAAATCTATTATTATGTTTAGAGCAGTGAATTACATGCAAGGTTATTTAACTCAATTTTTCATATCATTGTGGCAATTTTTTTTTAATAGCTACCGTAATGTATTTTCACTTCATCATACACAAAATTGAATGATATATGTTCCTGTAGTCTACAGTAAAGCATTGTTAAAAGGATGCATTTTGTTCTAGATGTTTTTCCTTGTTGTATACTGTCATCTACTGTATATGCCGGAATCATTCTATGAACAATGTTGTACTTGAACACCACATACTCCGAATTGCATAATACTAAGTAAGATTGAAAAAATTGCATCATGTTTGTTTTCTAGTTGTATATATCATCTGTTTGGAGGCAGAAGGGTGTTGACTCGCATGCTTTCACATAGAGTTAACGACCTTCCGGCTCTGAACAGACACTACCAAGCATCTTTATGAAGTGGTAGTGGGTTCCTTCTGAGCCAGCCTTAGTAACATGTTTTCTGTTGTTCCTGACAGGGACCTACTGGACCCGTTGGACCAACTGGCCGCTCTGGTGAAGATGGACGTATGGTAAGTATATAGTGGATATGTGTTTTTTTTAAAAGAAAAATGTGTTAATTTAGGTGCAAATAATATTTCATTCTTCATTGTTTCATTCATTCATTGTGCACTTACAAACATACCTGAAAACGGCTAAACTATAAAATGCTTTAAGAGGAACAGGTCAGTAAAAGTTTGAGCAAATTCTGATTAAAAATCAAACACAAATTGGTAACTCTGTGACGTATCTTGCAAGGATCCACCCCATTTGCTCTGTACAAAAAGAATAAGTACTTTCTACTTGCCCTAAATAATATTTGTAATCATACATGCACCCTAAATATAATGAATGCAAATACCCTTGTATGAAACAAATCTATTACATTATCAGTTTTGTTTATACCAGCTATTTATAAGGGTGGACTTTCCCATTTACAGTATATCTTAGAAAGTTGGATGATTACACAATAAACCTGAGATAGTTTATCATAATCAGAACCACAAGACAAGTATCTAAAGCCATTTGTGTGTTTCCTTCGTGTGTGTAGGGAAGCCGTGGACCTCAAGGAAACCAAGGAGTACGTGGACCCCCAGGAGTCCAGGGATTGATGGGATCTCAGGGAAGCAGCGGAGAAGATGGACGTGATGGACATGTGGTGAGTGCATGGACTCGATCAAGCTATGTTATCATGAAAGAAACTGCCTAAAGTGTTAGGGAATGGTTTATATATGTAATGAATAGGAACGATCGAGTTTAATTTCAAATTTTTAATCATCTACTTTATTTCAAATTGACAAAATCGATCTTCCTGAAAATGTCAAACATTGAAAAGCTTAAGACACAGATATTCATAGATGGGACCAAATATTATTACTACATTAATATTCTTTCATGTAGGAATAGAAAGGATAACATAGTTCTCACAGTATTTGTTGCCTTTACCATCAAGCAGCAATTTGTTGTGGTCTCCTAGGACATAAATTGTTTAACAATTATTTATTCCCAAGTGTTTCATTTTACCTTAAAAGAATACACAACTTTATGGAAAAGTTTTGATGTTAGATTGGCCTAAATTGTTATTAAAAATAAATTTACATAAACCTGTGACCATAATAGTGAAGAACATTTCTGTCAAAATGTTAATTTGTAAATATTTCAGTATATTTATTCATTCATTCATTCATTTATTCATTTACCCATCCATCCTTTCATTCATTCATTTTTTTATTTTTCTTATTGCCATCAGGGACCTCCTGGACCTATGGGAGCCATGGGACAGGCTGGAAATCTAGGAAACTTGGTAAGTCAGACAAGTCACCTCTCTTTGAAAAAAAATGTTACTTAAAACTTTCTGAATCGTGGCCCGATCTCATCCAAGAACTTCAGTTTTGAGCTTTTTCTTTGTATTAAATACCTCTATTATGAAGTTTATTTCAAAAGAAGTTAAAATGAAATGAAGATTGCAAGTCAAAATGCCATAGAGGGAAATATATGTATTGTTATGGGAATGGCTTTGTACACACATTCACAAGTTATTGCATTTGCAATATAGGATATCAAACATGTTATAAGACTTTGAAAAGTGTTCATGATTTGGGTTGGCTGTAATTTTGATATGGAGAATGAATTTTATGATTTAACTGAAGGATTGATAATTTGATGTAACCATTCAATTTTGTGAGCATTGGATGGGTTTTGAGGTGTGAACCAAGATAGAAGAGTAGTCTTAGAGATGTATAATCTGCTAAACCCAGAATATTATTATATATTATAAATTGTTTTCATGTTGTTTTATAGGGATCTCATGGATTCATGGGTCCACCTGGACCTGCCGGACCCCAAGGAAGACCTGTAAGTATGATCATGATATTTCCCCACTGATCAATTCATCGAAGTGCCTCAGTAGAGGAAAGTTTGAAATGTGCTTGAAATGAACTTAATATGTACTTGAAATGAACTTAATATGTACTTGAAATGTACTTGAAATGTACTTGAAATGTACTTGAAATGTACTTGAAATATACATGTTGCCTGTCTGACTCTTTGCAATGACATAAGATATGTTCTGGAACAAGATTTTACTGCCTTAAACCACTCTACAGATTTCTTTGGCTTTTTTCATAGGTCAAATGATGAAAACTAAGGGGGTTACTAAACCCAATTCTTTTCTGCAATATGCCCTTATCTATGTCATTTCAAAGACCTAATGCTGAAATCCAGTTTATATTTATGAATCTTAGGTTTACTCAATATTTTGATCAGATTTCCTGCTCAAAATACTTTATTAATTTTCATGTCATGTTTCATTCACCCAATGGTCTGTATGACGTTAATTTGAATCAAATTCCTGCGTAAAATACAGTTGTTTTTGTCCACATTACATTATTTTTCACTGACTTGACATAGTATTTAATACATTGTTCTTGTAATCTTTTGTTACCTAGGGAGTCAGTGGCGAAGCTGGACGTGATGGAGCCAATGGAGAGCGTGGAGAAGGTGGACGCATGGGACCATCCGGACCTGTGGGAGTCCGTGGAATGCCAGGAAGTGATGTAAGTTTTGTTCCAGGGTGCTCTGGCATACTGTATGCTCCAGCACCATTTCCTCTAGGCTTCATTTTGTCAAAGATATAGGGTTAAGGATTAGAAATTTTGATAAGTTTCACCCCGTGAACCTCTGGTTCAATAACCTCACGAGGGGATAAGTCTAGATACAGTACAGTGAATTCTTGTTTTCCAATCATTTTATCACATGCTAAAGCCGAGGGAGTAATTTCCAAAGCTCTTTGGAAGTGCATAGAGATGTTACAATGTGATATGCGCTATACAAGAACCGAATATTAGTATTATGTTTTTGTGGTACTCTGTGTCACAGTACTGTATACTTACAGCTACAATTAAGTATATGTTATTATGGCTCTGACTTTTAGATAAATAGTAAAATGTTTTGAAATGTCTGTACATGCAGGGCCGTGATGGTAAGGATGGACCAGCTGGACCCGTTGGACTTGTTGGTGGTCGTGGAGACACCGGAGCCAAGGGAAACAACGGAATGAACGGACTTATGGGACCACGTGTGAGTATATAGCTAGCTATAGTTGGTTTTTCATCGCCAGTTTGTTCAAGGAGATTGATTCAAACTATTATTTGTATTATTTGGTCAGGAAAGGAACAATACCCCTTTCATTTAATAGTGAGTAGTATACAAATATATACTTTCTTGAGAGTTTCTGGTTAAAACTATGGGCAAGAGGTTACTCCAAAATTTAGAATCAAGCAGAATAACTCACCAAAATAATTAATTAGACTGCGACTCAGCGTAGATTGTACAGCGTGAGAGCCACCACACGGCGGGAGTTGCCTGCTGGAGGCATTTGAAACCTTGTACATTCACTAAATTTCAACTCCCAAATAGGAATTTTACAGAGCAACCTTAGAATGGTTGAAATATTTCTGGTCACTTATCCGTTGGCCCATATAATACAAGGTAAAAAATATTTTTTGAGTTTTCACATTCTAGCTTCATATTTTATAAGGTGATTGGTAGACTTGTAAATTTGGGGCCATGCAAGCATATCATGCGTTATGTATGTCTAACGTGATGCGTTTTCCTTTGAATGACAGGGACCTTCTGGAATCATGGGAGCACAGGGAGAACGTGGAAACCGTGGCAAGCAAGGAGCACAAGGATCTGTCGGCAACGTTGGAGAATCTGGTGGCACTGGACCCATGGTAAGTTGAATACATTTGTCCAGCTATAGCCGATGTTGTATGAGAATGCTAAAAAGTCTTTGTGTCAATTTTTTATTGCACAAAAAAAACGAAGAACAAATATATATATATATATATATATATATATATATATTCATATATATGCATATTTTTTTTAATGACAATGAATTATGGGGAAAAATAAGCTTTGATACACAGGATCTGAGAATAATGTTCACCTTTGGAAGCCAGATAGAGTTTTAGGAAAGAAATGAGAGAATGCCAATTTTATCTCTTGAAGACAACGAGAAATCCCGTACACATACTAGGTTAAATGTTTTTGATGCCCACGGTGGAAATGATGATAGCGACCAAACTGCAAATCTATTATATTCTTTTCTATATAACTATCATCACACATGTTTTTCTTTCTTCTAGGGATCTATGGGACCTGCTGGAGCCCGTGGTGAAGTTGGTAGCCAAGGAGCCACCGTAAGTTTCCAAATTTACTTGCCCTTTTATGTATTAAAAAAGTCTTTTCACCCCATTGTTATATTTCGAGGTTTAATTTCACTAAGATAGTTTTTTAAAACAATCTATTTGCATCAACTCAGTGATAGTCTTTATTAGGGTGATGACAAAACTGCATTTACATTCACATTAGGTTTAAGTTGTAAATCTTTTGCCAATTGTTTATGTGAGGGAGAAAAACAGATCTTTACAATGAAATGAAGTACCGGTATATGTGAAGAGTTTTGTTACAAAGTTGTAGATGATGTAGATCCATTCCAAGAATCGGTTCAAACAAATGCAAATAGAATTACAATTATGACGATCCATTTTGAAAGATATAATGAGATGAAAAGAAAGTTGTAGAAGATTAGGACTACTCAATTATTTCATGTGTGCTATTGTAATTCTTATTCATTCATGTTTGTTTAGCCCAAAACCATTTCTCATTCATCAGGAATAAGATGAGAAGAAACATGTAGCAGAAGATACAGATATAACTTATTTTTCTTCATTAGTGTTATGAATATTAATAAGCATTAAACCATTTCTCATTCTGCTCCACATTATAGGGACACAAAGGACAGAATGGTATGCCCGGTATGCCTGGTATGATGGGAGTTGCTGTAAGTATTCATCTTTCTTTTCAGTCCAGATTTAAGGTGCATGATGGGGGGGGGGGGGGGGGGGCTTAGTTTGCAGGCCCAAACCCTTGTCACAGTCTGCACAGTGAGACTAGGCCGACATCGTACTGCATAGGCTCTGTTACTTGAGCTGCTTCAGACACTGACAGAGACTGTCAGAGCTAGACTCTGCTCAAGGCTTTAGGAGATGTGGTATTTATGACATAAAAGATACCATTTAGAGGCTTGTGGATGATATTCCTAAATCAAACTTTCATCAATATTTCACTCATTTTTGTAGAGACGGACATTTGTGTGTTTGTTGTGTGTTTTAAATCAGAATTAGGCTGTTAGAGATAACCAAACAATGATTTTGAAGATGATGTTTTCCCTGTTTTAAAATTCATGCTTTGATGTGTCTATCAGTGATATGTAAATTAAATTTTAATATTGTTTTGTTTTTCATTTGCTTAGGGTGAGCCAGGAAACAATGGAGAAGGTGGACCACAGGGTATCCGAGGTATCCCCGTAAGTACTTCATTCTTTCCTTATTCATTTATAGAGTATTGGTAAAGAAGAACTAGGCCCTGTTTCATAAAGCTTGATATAATAATAATAATAATAGTGGGTTCTTGTATAGCGCTCATGTAAGTCAGATTTGACCCTCCTGGCGCTCATGATTATTACCCTGGCTTTAGTACGGCTGCCATACGGCGCTCTAGCATTTCAAGGAATAAATTCCTACCAGGTACCCATTATCTTCACCTGGGTGGAGTGTAGCAAATGTAGATCAATGGCTTGCCAAAGGACATTAGTGCGGCGGCAGGACTCAAACCGCGGACCTTGTGATCAACGGTCCAGCGACGTATCCACTCGACCCCAACAAGTTGCAAAAACTGTTGTAAGCTACTGAAATCCTGACATCTAATTGGCTGAGATCAAATTTGTCATAGAATGTTATCATTTGTTATTGATAACAAAATCAAGACATATCCAATGGGTTAATAAGATCTCATTAATGAGGGCCACAATCTTGTAATATTTTGAAGAACTGCAATAATGAATTTGGAGATTTGGTTGTTGTTGCAAGACAAGCTGCATACCACTACCAGATAAGATGAGTCAATGTCATATATATTATCTCTCATTCTCTTGTTCATTCAAATGTGATGTGCTCTAGACCCTTTAAGAATGAAGTGATAATCTTGTAAATAAATCTTTTTCTTTTATTTTTAGGGAGTTGTTGGAGAGGGTGGAAAGTCTGGACGAGGAGGACCTCGTGGACCCCCTGGACTTCGTGGAGGCAATGTAAGTACCATCCTTACTGTCATTTAGAGATTCTCATACAGCATATCTTGAGGTCTAGTAATAGAATTACATTTTATTTGATACTTGCTCAGAGAACATGTATATATCTCTTAAATGTTTTCATAGAGGTGGGAGATGGAGATCTGCATAATAAACAAACTGCTAAAAAACTTTTCTGGAAATCATATTTCCTGATTTTTTCATTCATCATTACTCAGCTATCATAAGCTTTCCATAAAAAAAATAGAAATTTAGTGTCGTTTATTGAGGGATAATACAAATACTTGTGTGTTCTATTGTGGAATAATGCAATACCTATTTGTTGTTCTATTGTAGGGAGGACGTGGAGAGCGTGGAAACCTTGGACCTTCAGGACCCCCAGGCCCAGCTGGACCCCCAGGACCACCCGTAAGTCAGTCTCACATTATCTATGATGATCATTAATTAAGATGTGGTGAATTGGGGATGTAATGAAATTGAGATGTGTTGAAATGGGATGCTTTTATTGTCATTCAAATTAGATATTAAATAGAAATATGTTTTCTGATCTTGAATAATGAAAACAACAAGAGAATATAGAAAAAGAGAAACGGTGGGCAGGAATTTTTTAGTTAATATGACATTTTACAATTTTTTTTAATCTGTTAATCTTTGCGTAGCTCTTTGTACAAGTTCATCTTGGTTTGTAGTCTTTAACAAAATGTTTTGTATGTTTATTGAATCAAATATGATGTGAAATATGTTGTGAAGTCACAAATTCAACCTGAAAAATTCAAACAGTCGACAGCAATATGAGATCGAATTTTATGAACATTGTTGCTGAAGAAAGGATTTACCTTGTACATGAATAATTAAAAACAGAAAACCGAAACAGAAGTGAGTGATGTATGCATCAAATCCGGACAAAAGTACCTGTTATATTAAAAAAGAAAATTAATATGTTTTTCTTGTTTTTGTCTGTTCATACAGGGTGAAGTCTCAATGGTAAGTCTTTTGTTTATTTCATATATGTATCCTATTCGAATATAACACATTGATCACAGCAGTGATTCCCAGTGTTTAGTAATGCAGATACATGCATCAATAAATAATACAGATGTCGGAAGCTATAATTAAAAATAAGTAAATTGTTCCTTTGATTTGAACTGAAAGTACACAAATTGTAGATCACTTGATTAAAAGACATGTTCATGTATATTTATTCAGATTTGAACAAAGTATTGTAATTCAGTGGGCTGTTCCTATTCATAAATAGGAGTTCTTTGTAGCAAACATAACCTAGAAATTGTGTTTATGCCATGCCGAAAAATGAAATTTGAATTTGTCAAGACATTATATAAAGCTCTATCAAGTATAAGTCTGGACTTATTCATATTAACTTAACCGCAGGCGTGGACAAAAGCTTGCCTAATAAACTTTTAGGTTAGTAAAAGCTTAAACTACATGTTATAATTACCCCAACCACTAAAATATTTCACACTGTTATCATTTTTCTACAGGCCGCTATGCCACGTATGCCACAACAACAACAATCTAAGGGACCTTCTCAGTATTCTCACTACGTAAGTACACTGTATGTAAGGCAACTCACACGTAACAAGAAACATGCTATTTACAGATTTGTGGTCTTTAATGCTGGTTTCAATACAAAATGTTGTACAAGGATGAAGTTTACAGTACAATCTTTGTTTGTGTGAGATCAATTCTTTATCGCCAATAACTAGCCTTCTTGTTTTCAACTGTGTATTTTTCATGATGCATTTTTCCATATTTATCTCAAACGGTTTGTATTGAATCAAACATGAAGAAAAAAAAACCTCCCTGAGAATAAAATTGAATAAAATCCTGCTTACGATTTTCAAGAAGTGTCTGAAAACACATCTTTTCTAAATTGTTGTAATATTCCTCTCTGTTTGTAATTAATTTACTAGTAAGCTTCATTTGATAATGTTTTCTCTCTTTTTTTGTTTGTTAGTATTTCTTGCTTATGTTATTATTATTATTATAACATACATTAAAGTCCCAACCAATATTATTCTTATTATAACATACATTAAAGTCCCAACCAATATTATTCTTATTATACTTATCATCATTTCCACAGTACCGTGACGAGATCCCCAAGACCGTGGAGCAGCTCGACAGGACCCAATTCCAGATTTACCTTGCCAAATTCGAGAGCGAAATCCTCTCCCTCATTGAACCTCTGGGAAGCCGTGACCAGCCCATCCGTAGCTGCAAGGACCTCTTCAAGTGCTACCCAGAAGCTGAAGATGGTAAGAGAATACTCCTACAACCATTTAAATAAGGTTACATATGTACATCCATTTTTATAGAAAATACATAACAAATTACTTACAAGTTTTAACCACAGCATGGGATAAAACTAATTCCAATAAAGCAGCAGGCCATGCCTGGATCTATGCAAAAGTCCTATTTCTACTGCACAAGTTGAAGATTGCCTATTAAAGTCAACGCATTTCACTAAGTCCTGCGTGGTTGACTGTATACAACTCTGGCTTTATATAATTTCATATTTTAGTATACTTCATTTTTTCATGTTATAGCACTAACCCTAAAGTGATTGATAATACGATGAGTGATATTTTCTTAGGATCATTCATAGAGAGTTATTGTATGTTTTGTCTGCTGTACAGGTAACTACTGGATCGACTCCAACGAAGGATCCGTCAAGGATGCTTTCCTGGCTCACTGTGTCAAGCGTGGAGAGAGTGGCAGCCCAGAGACTTGCATCACACCACGAGTGGACGAGGTACGTAAGATGCAGGGCGAAAACCCCTGGACTACTTTATATGCATTCAAGTTTTATTCATATATGCTATAGTCTTCAAAAATTTGAAAGATATTTTACCTGTCTTAGCAGCATATGCAAGGTGGAATCATTAGAATAAATGTGACATATTAGTAAACTTGTTTATTGCATCATTGTAGCCAGTAAATTGGTTTATTGTATCATTCTTTAAGTGGGTTCAAGTTGAAGGGAGGGGATCTTATTTGACTTATATGTAGGCACACTGAACACCAGGTTTTACACCCTACACTGTACATGGTGTGCTACATGTTTGGACCAGCAAATGACTTTCCTAATTTCGAAAACAGGAACAGGTACATCCATTGTGAAGTTTATCCCCATAGAAGATGTTCTATGCCCACTTAAACAACATCATAGATATCAAAATTACAATTTGACCCTTTGAATACATTAAAGAGTATGGTTTTATAGCACAGAGTGTGTTTAATATTTATTCCTTTGTCTTGTATTTTTTGCAGATCTCTCGTGCAAGATGGTATGAAGGTGCATCTGGATCAAGATATATCACCGAAATGGGTCTAGAAAAGGTGAGTTCATAGTAATGTTATAACGAATGTCAAGTATTGTGGGAGGGGAAAGCATTAATTAATAAGTTAACTTATTTAGTTCCTGTGAGTTAGAACATTTTAGTAAAGAATTGTTCTTCAAATGTATTTTTAAGTTCATCTAGAATTTGATAATTTAGGCCAAGGGACTTTTGCCACACGTTTGTAAAGTCCTATATGTACATATTTATGTGCAGTACATATTCATATTCATCATCTTTCCTCACCCTAATCTACCCTCCTTCTATGAAGTTGATTCATCCTGCTATTATCTAGATGATCTATATCAAAATATAATTCTAATACCAGTACCCAACTTACCCTACTTTAAAATCACTCTTGTCACTTCTGTACAAGGCCTTTGAGTATACCTTCCCCCTCTGAATCGTTCTCATTCCTCACCTCTAATTGCTTTGTTTTTCACTCCATTCTATCCTGCAGTTCTCATATGAGGCCAGTGAAGTACAACTTACCTTCCTGCGTCTGCTGTCCACCAAGGCTCACCAGAACGTGACCTACCACTGTAAGAACTCTGTGGCTGTACGCGACAGGCAGACTGGATCAACAGAGCAGGCTCTGAGACTCATGACAACATCAGATGTAGAGTTATCACTTGATGCACCAAGCCAGGAGCAATACGAAGTTATTGAAGACGGATGTCAAGTAAGTCGATGCAACCTCTCTACAAAAATTATTCTTATGGCCGCTTTGTGTATAGTTAAACGAAACTAAAACCTTCATACTAAGTTACTTTTATTGTAAAGTTTAAGATATTTGAAAAATATCAGTGACAATTTGAACAAAATCAGGCAAGGAATAAGGAAGTAAGAGCTTTTTTAAATGACTAGTCATTAGAGGGCGGTATTCAATTTGATGACATCATCTGTGAACAACTCTCCATGCCTTTTGTACATCAAATTTCATGTTTTTCCTTCTTTCTTGTGATTGAGATAATGTACTCCCCCGAAAGCAAGATATAGAATGCAAAATGATATTCTACTTCACATGTTATTCTACTTCACATGTTATGAAGTCGGATCAAGAACACAAATAAATACGAAGAAAACAAAAAAAAAAGTGAAATTTTATGTACAAAAGGCATGGAGAGTTGTTTACAGATGATGTCATCAAATTGAATACCGCCATCTAGTGACTAGTCATTTCAAAAAGCTCTTACTTCCTTATTCCTTGCCCGATTTTGTTCAAATTTTCACTGATTTTTTTCAAATCTTTTAAACTTTACAAAAAAAGTAACTTAGTATGAAGGTTTTGGTTTCCTTTAAAAGTAAAAACTATATATATTTTCTGTGAGATATATATTCTTTGAGCTACATTTATCTCTTGTTATCAGTCCCTTGTGTAATGATATATCATAGATCAAATATCACAGGAGAAATTAGGAAATGCTTATCTCAAATAGAAATTTGAATTTTTTTTTCTGAATCTATGAGAAAATTAATATTTGTCACTTCACTGTAGAGTCTCATATGACCATGTTTGGATACAGTGTTCTTCACTGTAAATTACAATTCTTAAGTTGTGTTTAAATAGTATTTGTTTTCATGCTTTATTTTTATTAAAACGCTTTGACCGAAGGGCATCAATTTCTAATAGAAGATTGGACCTGTTGGTTTCAGAACCCAACCTTTATTTCATCCTTTAATGCGTTAACATCTAAGGTAGATTTTGTTCATGTCCATCATATGATGCAACATGTGTCCATTCCTAAAAAAACAAATGTTCAACCTCTTTTTTGTTTCTTCTTCCATTGTCTCTTACAGGAGCGTTCAGCAGAATGGAGCCAGACTGTTATAAACTATTCCACCAGGAGAAATACCCGTCTCCCAATTGTTGATGTTGCTCCTTCAGATATTGGAGGAGAAGGTCAAGAATTCGGTATCACTCTGGGACCAGTCTGTTTCTCATAGAGTCTGACCCCTTTCTAAACTATCTTGAACTGTCTTTGAAATTACAGCAGCAAAAAGAAGAAAAAAAAATGATAAAATGTTAGGACTATTTATGATGTCCTCTGGCAGCCTCATAAAATTGGAGCAACCCTTTTCTCGTCTGGTGTGTGTTTTTGATCTTTGAATACTGAAATTCTTGCCATAGTGTTTGCGAAGCAATAATGAATTATTTGTAGGGAAGTCTCTAAATTTGTGGCTTGAAAATTTATCAAAAGAATTAAAAAAGAAAAGGACAAATTTGAAGACTCCAGTGACACGAATTTTTCTGAAGGCTGACCAGAAAGTGAAAAACTTATTTGAATACATGATGTTGTACCTCACCAATCTATTCAATGATATGAAAAATGTGCCTTATAAGATTTGAATGACAAGTCAAAATATGATCAAAAGATAACCTATTTTTTATACTCATCGTATACTCCTTTATATTCTTCAAAATTGTGGTGTAATGTTAGTGCTTTTCCATCTTATGCATGTCCTTGTTTCCTTGATGTTGGTGTGGGTGTACATGGTGCACTTTCACGCCTCTTTCTTTATTCTTTTATTGATTGACTTGCTTTGAAATGGTGCTAGCTCTCTAGTCTGTCAGATAAAAGTGGACTCCCTTTGCGCTGATTCCCTTGCGCTGACTCGTCTAGAAGCCTTTCTTAGTAGAAATAGATATTAATGTCTCCTATTGTGTCTTGGACCTTCTTGACGAAGGTTCTTTGTATTGTCTTTCGTATGTGTTTACTGATAGTTTTTCACCTTGTGAAAATTTATTGTACAAAATTTTAAAAAAATTGTCATCAAATTGATTAGAATAATGGACAGTGAAGGAAATAGCCATAGAATTACAAGCAAAGCTTTCCAATATTTCTACCTTTTAGAAAAAAAAATCAGGAATTTCTCATCTCTTTTCACAACGTTTTAATGAAATGTTCAACTATGCAAATTCAAAGATATTATATTTTGTCATGTTAAAGAATTATTTTTCTAATGCTACATTTTATACTGTTGAATAGATTGGTTGATACAATGTGTTGTGTGAGATTATTGATTAATAAATGAGCTTCCCTATGAATTCATGACTTCCTTTCATCTTTGTCTGTGTGGTGTATAAGGAACCTGGTTTGATCTGTGAATGCATTTGATTACTGACTCAAACAGCATTTTACCGTTTTAAATATAAAACTTTTAGGAAGTTCTACATTTTTTTTTGCTTGTGATTCCAATTTGTGAATGTTTGTGAATTTCTCTTGTTTTTTTTGAAGAACATTTGATTTTGCAATTGTAAAAGTAAAGTGTGATAATGGTGACGGTGCTGCTTATACCTGCAATGCTGAGGACGATGATAATAATGGCAGTTTATGATACTTAAAATGATGGTGGTCGTGACTGTGATTATGATATGGACAGAAGTTACCATGAAGACGGTAAAGTGGTTGTTGATGGTGATGATTGTGATGAGATGGCGGTAAGACCTATGATTGTAAAGATGATAAGGACGATGACGACACTGGTATTTGTGATGATGATGATAATGATAGTGCTGGTGATTATGATGATCGTGATGATGATAATGCTACTGGTGATGATGATGATGGTAGTGGGGATGGTGATACTTATTATGATGAAGAGGAAGATGATGTGATGAAGGTGATAATAGTTATCATGAGACAGATACATATTCGATAATGATTACAAAAATATCCTTTTAAAAACCATATCTAGGACAAGTCTATGTAGGAACAGTGCATAAACAAAAATATGTTTGAAGCGCAACGTCCATAAGATAACATTGCTGGTACTTATTAGGTTGAGATAGAACATGGCTTAAAATGAGAGATTCTGTCTTTACAAAATATCCACTTCAAAACTATATCTAGGACAATTCCATGAACGCTTGAATGTTTCTGTCGCGGTATTTCGAAAATTATTTCATAATTTTAACAACTGTATAACGAATTCCAAATATCATCATGGACATTGGGAAGTAACGATTCAACTAGATGTAGTGCAACTTGAGACATACAAGTATTTGTCGCAAGATAAGCTCAAACTTGATACACGGGGATTTAAACAAGACTTTTTGAACAGCAAATGCATGGACTTTGGTATCTCAGTTGGATAGAATACATAACGATTACTACTATATAACGATTTTCAAGGTCCCAAGGTTTTTAACCTTTTTTTAGAAGCTCCCAAAACTTGGGTATACATATACATTATCATTTATGTCAAAGAATACACGTACTTGTACACGCACACGACGCTATATTAAACATTAACGATTTTTGTTATATAAATAAAAAGCCTGTGTCCGCCTTCCTACATAGCATTTACACTCAAAAATGTTTTTAGTTAGATATAACATGGTTAACAAAATATTAACATCTAATTTGGCTAACATTCTTTTCATGTATACATAAACATGAACATGTAGTTTTGACATGAAATTGGTGAGGGACGCGTCCATGATTTACACCGCCCCTACCTGCTCTTTGTAATGACGATATTATTTGCATCAGAATTAAGATTCAAACGCGAGAATAAAGGTAATGTGACCATATTTCTCAAGTTAAACTACCTCACACTAGTACAGTAATGTAATAACAAGAAGATAAAGGTAGTCAGATGAAGAAGGGAACGATGAAGAGAGAGAGAGAGGAGCAAGAAGAAGAAGAAAAAAGTGAAGAAGAAGGAGAAGAGAGAGGGAGAGAAAGAAAGGAAAAGAAAGAGAGAGAGAGATAAAGAGAGAGACAGAGAGAGATAAAGAGAGAGAGACAGACAGAGAGAAAGAAAGACAGAGCAAGAGAGAGAGAGAGAGAGAGAGAGAGAGAGTGAGACAGAGACAGAGACAGAGAGAGTAAATGATAAAGTTCTGCGTCGGTGTATATCTAAACCTTCTAGATAACGAGTTTGGTCACATGTCCTACTTCTAGGCTTCTGTGCATCGTTGATCTATTATGTAATGTTTTTAATGGCATGAATATCTCGAAAGAGGATATAGGGGTAAAGACAAATATTGTTATAGTATTGAATAATTACCAATTTATTTATAAGTCTTCTTGTTCACTGGTGGGAAGAGTACCCTGTCTCTCATATCCACATCAGGTAGGCCTACAAAATTATGCACTTCTTAAATATGAATTGATTTCTTCCAAAGCTATGGAAAGTACTGTTGTGCATCGTGAAATGACTTATCTACTTCAAAATACGAAACATGCTCAGGGTGACGGAGCCCCTCCCACATCGACTTATTTAAATATCCCCCTGTAACACTTTCTGAAAGGATGCCCTAACCAATTCCAACATTTTCTAGTAACATCTCTCTCAGTGTAATATTTTGATAATTTAATATTTCCTCAATTATGATAATGTATTATAATTTGCAAAAACGATGATAAAATGGTAGATTAAAAGTATAAATCGTCGTGATCTTCGAGAGGAAAGAAATTGGCTAAAAGCTTAAATCTACCACTATTCTTTTACAATAATCATCTTAAATGTCATAAGTATGGATGCGCATGCATTATGACGTCAGATACAGAATGCGCTATGTTTCGCGTTGTGTGTATGGTGACTATGTACTACTTTGTTTACTTAATTTATCACCATTGTTCTATTCAATCACTTGCGAATATCATCGGTATATTGAGTTCTTTACTTAGTGTTCTAATTTGCTTTATTTGCTTTGAATAAAAATGGGGTGCATACGCAGCAAACCAATTCATCGGCAGGATGAAAACGAGAACGGGTACGTCTTCGACGACATTGATGAATCCCAAAGTACTGGATTCAAGCTGGACACCGTCGAAGAGAAAAAATCTTTCGAAAGGATTGGGGACGGTAGGAAATGCAACTTGACAATTCGAAGTTCATGATATATATTGTCATATATAAACGCTTATTGAATTATAGTTCAGGAAAAATGGGGGGGGGATTGGGTTGGAGAGAGAGAGAGAGAGAGAGAAAGAAAGAGAGAGAGAGCGAGAGAGAGAAAGAGAGAGGGAGATAGAGAGAGAGTGATAATCAAAGAGTAAGGGGGAGAGAGGGGGGGGGGGGGGGCGGAGAAAGAAATCTACCTTTGAAAACTGATCGACCAATTTATTCATTTGGTATTACTATCAGGAAAAAATACTATAGGAAAAATAATGTCAACAAAATAGAGTACGCGAATCCTCATGGGCTTCTCTTTTAATTAAAAAAAAACGAAAACATGTTATACATGGGTTATAAAGGTTTCTAAACCGAAAACTTCAAACACTACACTTTTTTTATTATTTGATAATGTAAGAGGATTTAATTTATATTTCTCAAGGAGATGCCGTTGCGGCCCTAGATTTGGGGGCTGGACGGACAGAGAGTTGTGATGACGACAACACAACGGATAAATCAGTTGAAGATCATGCTCTGGCAAAGAGAATGCAACTTCTGAGGGTATGTTACCTTTATCCCCTTCTCTAATCTCTTGTTCTTTCTTTCTCCATCTCTGTTCCTTTCACTATCCATCTTTCCCCCTCCTCTTTCTACCTAGCTTTCTGTTACTCTCTCTCTCCGTCTTTGCTTTCTGTCTTTTCTTTCTTACCTCTTTCTTCTTCGGCGCTCCCTTTTTTCTCTTTAACTCTATTTTTTAAAACTCTCTCCCACTCTTCATTTTCCCATGTTTATATATTTATATTTTTGGTGGGGAGACGTCAAAAGAGTGGGCTTATTCCCATTCTGTTTTAAGGTCATTATTTAGCCCGTTTGAACAATTCTCGAGTGAAAAATGGAGATGATAGTACTGGTAAAAAAGGCAATTAGGTAAACACCTTGAAAAGCCGTCCAGGAATCTCTCATATCTCACAGACTTGTACAAATCGTAAGTAATCGTAAGAAATCGTGAGTTAAAAAAACAAAAACATTTTAATTGATAAAGTGCTCGTATGGCTATTTTTCAAAGATGATTCTAATAAGTTATCATTACCTTTCAAATATGTTATTCCACAGGATATTGCAGAACTTCAGGTGACACACCTCAGACTGGCCCGGGACAGGTTTCACCGGTCCATCATCCAAGGGGATGCCAGGAAAGTGGTTGCATCACTGAGGAGCCATCAATTCTACGATGAAGAGGAAAAGGAAAGAGGGCACTTCCAAAGAAGTAATATTCGTATATATTTTTTTTATATCCACTGACAAGGAATTGGTTCTTTCTTCAAAAAGTAGAAATCAGCTAAACAAAACTAGCAAAAGGCAATTCAAAGTAATTTTCCCAACCTTTTATTATCACTTTTTTCAAACAAATAGAATTTTCCATAGTAATATTCATATTGCACAAACTTGCAATTTGTATAGTCGAAGTCCCCGTCCCCACCTCTTTTTGCAAAATAATTATTTTAATTTTAAGACCAATCGACCTTTGAAAACTGATTGACCAGTTTATTCATTTGGTATTAGTAGGACAAAATAATGTCAACAAATAGGGTACGTAAATCCCCATGGGCTTCTCTTTTAATTAAAACAAAACAAAACATGTTATACATATGTTATAAAGGTTTCTAAACCGATAACTTCAAACATTACACTTTTTTATTATTTGATAATGTAAGAGGATTTAATTTATATTTCTCAAGGAGATACCGTTGCGGCCTTAGATTTGGGGGCCGGACGGACAGAGAGTTGTGATGACGACAACACAACGGATAAATCAGTTGAAGATCATGCTCTGGCAAAGAGAATGCAACTTCTGAGGGTATGTTACCTTTACCCCCTTCTCCAATCTCTTGTTCTTTCTTTCTCCATCTCTGTTCCTGTCGCTATCCATCTTTCACCCTCCTCTTTCTACCTAGATTTCGGTTACTCTCTCTCCATCTTTGCTCTCTGTCTTTCTTTCTTACCCCTTCCTTCTTTGGCGCTCCCTTTCTTTCTCTTTAACTCTAATTTGTTTTAACTCTCTCCCACGCTTCATTTTTCCCATGTTTATATATGTATATTTTTGGTGGGGAGACGTCAAAACAGTGGGCTTATTCCCATTCTGTTTTAAGGTCATTATTTAGCCCGTTTGAACAATTCTCGAGTGAAAAATGGAGATGATAG